TGTGTGCCGTCCGCATAGCAGTGAAAACTAACGCAGAAACTGCAAATTATGTTACCAAGAGGTTGCATGTACAGAGGGAAAAGCAGTGGCCTGAGCACTGATCCTTGGGGGACACCATATTGTACTAGCATACGATCAGAGTGTTTATTGTTAACACTTACAAATTGATAACGGTCAGTCAGATAGGATCAGAACCAGGACAAAGCCTGTCCTTTGACTAGTCAATGTTTCATTCACTTCTATAATGGTTATGTAAGTAAATATTGATTTTTAAACATTTTTAATAAACCATTTACAATTAGGGATAAAATCAAACAAAATTAAATTGTAATAAAGAACAAAAAATAATTAGTATCAGAATTAGAATAGAATAATTAGAGAAAAAGAAATTTGAATTGGTGCAGTCATCACTTCTGCCTTCTTGATTTGTAGTCATTTATAATATCTTCATATTTTTCTGCCGATATCATGATTAACCTGAATAACAGTTACTGTTCTAATTCTTCATTCTTTACTCATACTGCTCTTCTTGTGTTATTGTTTTGCTGTGTGGTGTTGACCAGAGGAGAATAAGTTCCCTTTTTGTGTTTTAGTTCCTCTTAAGGTTTACTCTTCTTGCTCTTAATGAGTTTTTCTCACTGTACAAAATCTAAATAACAAAGCAATGCAATGATCTGCAAAGCATTTAAACTCTGTCTTTAAATGAAAATAGTGCAAAGACAACATATCAAATGTTGAAATTGTATTGATTTTAGAAAAATATATGCCAATTTTGAATTTGATGACAACACATTTCAAAAAAGTCAGGATGGGGGGAATGTTTACCTTTGTTCCATCACTTATTCTTTTAACAACACTCTGTAAGCATTTGGACACTGAGGAGGCCAATTGCTGTTGTTTTAAGCTTCAATTTGTTTTCCCATTCTTGATATTGAATTTAAGCTGCTCAAGATTTTCATAAAGCGCAAAATATTTTCAATGGGTGACAGGTCTGGACTGCAGGCAGGCCAGTTTAGCACCTGGACTCTTTTACTATGGAACCATGGTATATTGCATGGTAGAGTTTTAACTTGCATTTGTGGATGCATTGTTGTGTTTTTTTACAGACAGTGGTTTTCGGAAGTGTTCCTGAGCCCATGCAGTGATTTCCACTATAGAATCATGTCTGTTTTTAATGCAGTGCCACCTGAGAGCCCAAAGATCACAGCCAGCCAACACTGGGTTTTAGCCTTGTCCCTTACACACAGAGATTTTTCTGGATTCTCTGAATGATATTCTGTACCGTAGATGATGAAATCCCCAAGTTCTTTGCTATTTTGCGCTGAGAAACGTTATTCTTGAATTGTTGCACTATTTGCTCACACAGTCTTTCACGGAGTGGTGATCCCCTCCCCATCTTTACTTCTGAAAGACTCTTTGGGGATCCTCTTTTATACCCAATCTTTTTTTATGCACAACAGACCAAACATAGTGCGGTTTGACATACAAAAAATGAAACAATCAACAAAACAGTGCAGGGAAGATACAAAAAACCCAAAGGGCTTGTACTAGGTACTTTCCCAATTGAATTAACTAATCATGTTACTGACCTGCTAATTAACCTAATTAGTTGTGAGATGTTCCACCAGGTGTTTTTCTTAATATTACCCAACTTTACCAGTCTTTTGGGGCCCCTGCTTTTTTGAAATGTGTTGCTGGCATCAAATTCAAAATTCCAAAAAACACTAAAATTCCTCAGTTTCAACATTTGATTGTCTTTGTACTAGTTTCAGTTAAATATGAGGTTTAAATGATTCGCACATCATTTCACTCTGTTTTTATTTTTATTATTTTGCACAGCGTCCAAACTTTTCTGGAAACAGGGCTGTAAAAAGCGCTATATAAATAAATCTTGAACTGAATTACTGTACATTAAACACAACATCATGGGGCCTTTGTGGCTCAGGGCCCACCAGTGACTTTTACCACTTATAGCAAGAAACGGCTCTGGACCTACAGGAAACAGTGCGGTTATTTGAGGTCACTGATGAAAAGTCCCATGTTTTCCATTGTAGAGAAAGCACAGCCACGTCCACTCTGAAAGGCACCACCCTCTGCTAATGCCTGTGTTTTGTTCACGGCTTTGCTCCCTCGCCGCCTGCTCTGATTCACAGAAAAGCCAAACCAGTTCCATCCAGGAGTTTTGAGTTCACTGTGGCTTCTCACCTCCGCTAATCCCACTCAGACACACGGACAGCGGAGAGAGGAGTGTGAATGATTGATTCATTTTCCTCAGCTTGTACTTCATGGGCAGATGATCTTTCTGCTCTTCAGCCCCTACAAGCTCCTTCTCTAGCAGGCTTTTTAATCCGATTTTCATTATTAAATTGTGAAAAAATACAATGGCAGCAAAATGACTAATGAAATTATATGCCTTTGGATACAGTGTTAAGGTGTGACAAGGACAGGGGTCAGCGCGTGAAGGCTGATTGTGGTTTTAATCAGACTTGGCGTGCTGGTCATTCCTGCTAGTGAAAGGTTTGGAATGAGAAGTGGAAAAAAACAGACACACAGACACACAGACACACACAGACACACACACACAGGTGTACTGCATGATACAAGCAGTTAGCATCCTACCATGCTTTGTGGCATGTATGAAAATGGTGAGTAGGCCCAGCTGACCCTTTGGATCAAGATCGATCAACATCTGTGTAACTTTGAAAGAGGGTTCATTATAGGAGATTCAGTTACTAAGGCAGCTCAACTGGCTACAGTTTCAATAAAGACAGCTATTAAAGTGACATCTGTGTTTTATGGAGTTAAATTTAAGCCAAAATGTATCATATTAATGAAGTGTGATTTGAGGGCGTACATCAGGTTTTGAGTGTAAATTTATTAAAAAAGTGAGGTACGTGAGTAATTTTGGGGTCTTGGTACAGACACTTCCATTTCCAGATGTGCAAATTAGCATTTTGCCTACATTTTGTACTTTTCCTTCATTCGAATCAACCTGTACCAGTTTGTGTTTGTTGGCTACGTGCAAACTTTTCGCAACATTGTTGCACTGAAACCAGAATCAGTGTGCCATGAAATCTGCACCTTACTTGTACTGTCTGAATTGTAGATATGTTACACTTTGTGAACAAGAAGGTAAAAAGGCAGATTTGAACTTTAACCACCATCTTTGTGATATACGTTCTGTTCATTTGGATTAACTTACACAAGTTTAGTTGTCATTTCCTTAGAGGAGGTGTGTAAAGCAACTGTGGTCACTTCTGGTTCTTGACTGCTCAACTCTTCACAGTAAAAGACGCTGTCTTCACTGTTTGCAATTTTTGAAGACGCTTTATTAAAGGAGCTTGATAGCAACTAGATAGAACCAGAGCCGGGAGCCCAGCCACTACTTAATGCTCCCATTGCATTAAAAATGACCAAAAAACGCAAGAGGCTGCCCGAGTAAGGTGAAAGGGGCAAAATGACAAAAACATTAATCATTACAATTTTGCACAAAAGCTTCATATTAACCCATTCATTTTGGACTCGCTCAGGAGCGTCTTCTAGCATCTGACTAACCCAGAAGATATGATCAAGTGGCAGTTCTCCTCAACACATTCTCTGATTGCAAAGTCATTTAGTAGGAAGGGTGTCAGGTGTTCATGACCCAAAAATGACCTTAATCACAGGCTTCACACGCTTCTCTGGGGCATATGATTACAATTCTGGGAAAAGTGCAACGACACTGAAAAGTTCACACATAAGGAAATGAGACCCAATTTGTGAGAGTTAATCCAAAAGAACGTAAAATCCAAATCTGCATTTTTACCTTCATCTTCACAAACTGTAACATCTACAATTCAGACTTTACAAGTAAGGCGCAGATTTTAATGACACACCTTATGATTGTGATTCTGGTTTCAGTGCAACAATATTGCCAAAAGTTTGCATGCTGCAAATGCAAACTGGTACAAGTCGATCTGAATGAAGGAGAAGTACAAAATGTAGGCATAATACTAATCTGCACATCTGAAAATGGAACTGACTGTACCGGGACCCCAAAATTACTCACATAATTTACTTTTTGTTGCACTTTATTTACATTCAAAACCTGATGTACATCTACAAATCACAATTCACAAATATGATACTTTTTGGCTTAAATTGAACTCTATAATACTTACATCTACGTGACAGATAATAGTAATGCCTTTGTATTAGTGCAATGTGTAAGAACAAACAAACAAACAAACAAAACAGAAGAGCAACTATTCCTCAGGTGGCTGAGAATGCAGGACAAAGCAGGAGATAATCAGACTGTGTCAGCGAGAACAGTTTGTCTACAACATAAACCCCTCATTACAAAGACAAACACATTTGAGAGTTCAGTGGTGTAAAAACAGGTCAACAGAGAAAGTGATATGGTCAGTTGGGTCATTCTTCACCATAATCTTGACTAGTGGGAGAGTGCATGTGTGGCATACACCAAGAGGCTTGAAAGCTTGACTGTTACAGTGAGGGGGTCCTGGTAGCTGTTATACTGTGGGGGGGGGGCATTTTCCTGATATAATGCAGGTCCATTTCCCTTAGAGGGAAGGGTCACTAAAAATCAGTACAGTTGTTCGGACTGATTCCCTTTATCTTATGATGAAAATCTGTATCCTGATGGGAGTGGTCTGTTCTAGGAGAACAAAGCCCTCATTCACAGGCCATGAGGGGTCACTGACTGGTATAAGGAGTATGAAAATGATGTAAATCATATGCTGTTGCCCTCACAGTCACCAGGTCTCAACCAAATCAGAAATGTATGGCAGATTTTGGCCAGATCTGACAGCACTTTCCACCAGCTTCATTAAACAACACCACTGCAGGCACACTGAAGCTATTCAAACTGCTTTTTTTGGTGGGATTAAAGATCTCTGAGGTCATGGCACTAGACAACGGACATCCACAGCACACTGCATTTTTATACTGTGGGTTTCTAGGGTCTTAGAAAGAGCAAGGATATTACATATCAAGAATAATGAGGATTTCCAATATCATGATTTTTATTCACAGTATTTGAACAAAGCATTCTTGCCGACAATGTACGGATGCAGTTCTCTCCTTTAAAATGGCATGGAATGCGGCTCAAAGTGATGGCACCTTTATTTAATGGCTTACTATAATAAAAGCACATCCTGGAACTAGACTTCATGTTTAGTAAACTCTGCACAATACATCACTCTTAACATACACATAAACTCTCAATCCATTAAGTACCTGTGGCCATGTGTGTAAATCTGGTCTAAGATTACCATCACCTTTGTACCTACAGTAATAGGGGTTAAAGTCCAGCAGAATCAAAATAAAGACATAAAACTTGCCTTTAAGACATGTGAAGGTATTTGAAATAAATCTAAATCAAATACAAACATGACGTGCGTCAGTATAGGCTACAAAAAGCCTACAAGATCTGCAAAGAATATGTACAAAAAGATGACCAAAGATTCTTTACAGAAAAAGACCAGCAATGTAATCTCAGAGTGCAATCAATTAAAAATCCTGATTAAAAAGTGTGAAGAGGGAAGAGAGATGAAGATTATATTCTCATTCTGACTACGCTGCTTTGTGACACAGACCATTCAGCATTCACTGTGTAGAGTATAAAAATATTAACTTACATATATATTAAATTAAATGACAGTGATTCTTCATTAAGTAATATTTTCTAAATACATTTTTTTTGTGCCCACGTGGAAAATGAAGGCCAATCACAGCATTTTGTACACACATTGACAAACTGGAAAGGCCATGTTTATGAGACAGTCTTCATCACAAAAATAAACGGGCTTATGTAGGCATCTTAAAGTGATCGAGCAGAGGCTGGTGGAAGTGTGAAATAAAATAAAAATAAAAGACAGTACAGACTTCACAGAACGGTGAGAGCTGTAGTGAAGGACTAGGACACTAGTGGATGGACAGAGTCAGTTAAGATGAGCAAAATGATTACACTGGACACCAATCACAAAATGTACACAAAGGCTTTTTTAACACTCTGAACAAGAGAAGCAGAAATGACAGTTGTGACAAACTTATTCAAATATCAGTTATTTTGTCAAATCACACGCAAACCTTGGTGTTGAAGTCTAGCCAGTGATGTATCCTTCAGTGAGACGTTTCCAGTTTAAACGTCAGCAGCACAAATGAACCGTTGGGAGGCTGAATGCACAGCTCATGACTGGAGGAGGACCGTTTTTGATGTCTGTCTCAGAACCAGCAAATGCAGTAGTTCCACACTCATTACTGGAGCTGCTCACGTGCACATACTGAATCCATTTAGCTCCAAATCAGGTCCAGTGGTGAGCTTTCCCAAGCATCGGGCATACGTCGGCCCAGTCAGGACCACCTGCATCAGAGTTAACTTCATAGGCCTGAAGAGTGGGAAGTGTAGTACGGGCCGTTCATCTAAAACAACAAAGAGGACTAGAAATTATTATAGTTGATAAGGTCTAGTATGTTAGACATCCATTACATCTGCTTTTTAAGAATATATAGTCACTGAGTGTGTTTACATGCACTCAATAACCCGATCATAATCGGATTTCTGCAGTTATCTGATTATTCAAAAGGTCATGTAAACAGCACACTCCAATCTAGAAATCCGAATATGAAATCTGATAAAGGGAGCTGGATTTTAGCTCAATAATCAGATTTCTCAGTGCATGTGTACTCTTACTTTGATTTCTTTAAGATTTCTCAGTCTGCGCATGTGCGGAACAGACGGTGGTACTGAAAGATGGCAGCAAAACACTTTTGGAGTGACGCTGAAACCAACTACATGTTTGACGAAATGAAGAATTTAAATATTCTTTATTTTCTAGATGATGTATGCTCATATTTTCAGGTGAAGTAGCGCAAGTTATTTATTTATTTACTTTTTTTAAGCCACGGCATGAAGTTTGAGCTTATGTCTACGTCACGTCTTATTCTGTGAGTTTATTGGCTGGTTGCAAAGCATAAATGATTACTGCCTGACTCATGGAAACCCAGAGTTTCCCCGTTATCTGATTACTCAAGTACATATAAAAGCAGCAACAGTGGCTGTGTTTACGTGCAATGATTATTGCCAATCCAATCGAATCTATTCTGATTATAGATTAAGACTGAGGTGTTTATACGCACTCTACTCAATAATCTGATGAAAATCTCCGTTTACATTCACACTACAAGAAAAATTATGCGTACGCGCAGAGAACCACTTAGTGTACATGTTACCATGACAATGAGCATCACGTGAGTCCAGTCAGAGTGAGGAGAGCAGCAGTGAGTTTTCAGCTGGCGTGCTTGTTTTCAATTGCTTTAAAATGATGTCAGACTCAGAAAAACTTACTTCACATGTACTTATTAAAGAAGGGGCGAGAGGCCGTCTTTAAAGTTACAAGCATAAACTTCGTTTCCTGTGCGCATCAGTTTCTGGCTCCTGGCATGTTGAACGTTTGCTATGACACAAATACACATGCACAGAACATACATTCCAATTGGGAATGTAATCGGATACAGGCGTTAACATGGTTATTATCTTCTATTTGACAGATTATTTACAGGATTACCCACCTCGTTCAATCGCATAGAAATTGTATTCCAAATGGCCTCAATCAGACTAGTCTATTCTATTCTGATTGAGGTGTATACATGGACATATTCTATTCCGCTGTTAGTCAGATTATTAACGGATTATCAGGCTGCATGTAAACTTGGCTACTGATATTGCCATTTTAAACTTTAGAATGTTTTTGTTTTTTCGTCTCCCATAATGTCCATAAATGTATTTATTAAGTAATTTTGGACCATTATTCATAAACCGTTTATACAAATGTAAAGGGCAACAGGAGAAAGTTACAAGGTTTTGATATGACAGTGACAGTGTTTATTATGCTAAAACGTTTTAAATGTTTTACACTTTACAATGTTTTATATGGATTTGTATTCATCTTTAGATTTTAGTCATTAGCAGAGAATTTGTTAGTGTTAGCTGGTAAGCAACAGGGCAGAGGCAAACTGGTTCTACAGGTACTGCACTACAGTCCTACTGTTAATGCATGTTCAGCACTGCACAATATATAAGGTCACTACTGCTTACAGTTGTCTTCATAAAGATGTTCTACACAGCAAAAACCATGGCGAGCGGTTCCTAATGGTTTAGTGGATTATGTACTATGTGAGTAGCTACCTCAGGCCTGCTCTGCTGCCCTGACTGATGTAATTTACCACAGCTATAACCACAGAGTTGAGTAGGGTCCAGCAGCAGGGTCCTAAGCCTGCAGGTCAAACTGAAACAAAAGCAGATTATTCTGCTCTGTCCATGACCAAATAATTGAGTTTGAGCACTCCTTCAAAACATTCAGTCATTCTGCTAAGAGAAAAGTGAAAATCGTCTGACTACAAAAACCTTTTGAGCGCATTTCAATGCTTTGTGAAGGGCTGACTGGGTAATTTAGGGTGATTGTAGCTGTACATTCTATGGCAGTACAATCTATTCATAGTGCTAGCAAATGAGAGAAAGCCAAGTGCAGTTACCATTAAATACTTAGACAAGCTGCTATTTCCTTTCTTTATCATGACTAAGTAATCAAAACCAACAGGAAGTGCTTTAGCAAGGTAATCGAGAAGTGCAGCCTGAGAGACAAGATGAAGGAGTGTAGGTCAAGACACTAATGTGTATAAGACTGACATGCATCTCCGCACCGAGATCTACTACAGCAAGGGGTGCCCTATGTTTTGTCTTGGGGTGATGCAGTGCAGCATTTGCGGTTGGCCAAGAGCCAAAAAAACAAAAACTATATGCAAATAAAGAAGCAGGTTTTAAATCAACATTCAAAAACACACACACACTTTATGTAAGTACATAAATAAATGAAACTAAATGCACTTATAACTAAAACTCAATAAAATACCACTTTAAAAGGCAGTAAGAACGTAACAAGTTACATGTTGTATAAAAATGTGTTTGTTCTCTCACTGAGTGAGTGGGTGGGGTTAGGGTAACATTATGGCCAGATCAAATGTCCCCATGAGGAGCCACACTCGGAGGAGCCCCCGTATACACAATTTAAATGATGCTATCGCAAAGGAGGGACAGACCAGACATTCAAACTGATAAGACATTTACAGATGAAATAAAGACAACTCCCAAGCCACAGAAACAAAAGGATTTTTTACTAAGGTGTCAGTGCTGGAATGCCTAGTTAAGAATGGCACTCTTTTGCACTTACAGATCACCCTAAGAAACCAATATACAGAGAAAATTACCTCAGGCTTGCATAGCAGTACTGCCACAACTGGTTTATTTGCACAATTATATCTGCTGAAGTAGATTCTGCATTCTGACTTCAGCCTTGTTCACAGCTTGTACTCAAAACATCTGGTGGTTTCTATGAATTCACGAGAACAAACATGTTTTACATACAGTATATGTCCCAAAGTGCGTAGACACCTGCTCATCCAACACTTCTACTGAAATGAAGGGTATTAATAGAGAACTTGCCCGCCACCCCTTCGCTGCAGTAACAGCCACCACTATTCTGGGAAGTCTTTACACTAAATGTTGGATCATGGCTGTGAGGATGTGATTGTCTGCAGCCACAAGAACATTAGTGAGGTCAGATACTGATGTTGGATGACTAGTTCTGGATCACAGATGCCACTGCAAGTCATCTCAAACATATTCAAGATCAACAAAACATGCAATCTGACTAGGGGTATTTGCTGCTGTCGGAACCCTGTATCTCCAAAAAAAGGTAACTTTACATGGGGAAAAAAAACCTTGTTACCTTTTAAATGTAAGTTAATGGAGAAATTATTTATTCCATTTTGGAGCATTTCTGCTAGTTCGTAAATGTATTATACACACACACACACACACACACACACACACACACACACACACACACACACACAAAGAGTCTGAATACCCTCAGTCAAAAGACTTATTTTGTTGCTTTTCCGAGTGAAACTCTACAGGGAACAAACTTAAAGCTACACTATGTAAGATTTGGGGATCTAGAGACCTCTCTGGTGGAAATGAGTAAGTGCATGCAATATGCATAACATTTTGTAACAGGTTTTACTCTGGACCTCTTCTCTAAACAGATGAGTCTGATGATTGCGAGCAAGCTGAATTCAGTCCAAAAGGCAACTACCTGTGAACTACCTGATTTTGCACTTCAGACTTAAACATTAAGCCGGATCATCCATCATGTGTGATGGTAATACGTAAAGATGTATGATGTGGCTGGAAAAACTCCTGCAAAATCTGATCACACCCCCCCCCCAAACATGTTAAATCCAGCAAACAGTAATTAGGCAGGACTGTTCTCGGTAGAGGATGAGTCACTTGTGCAGGGCACCCAAACTTTTGCAAACTATTTATCCACAGTGTAGGCTCTCAATGAAATGACCCCATTAATTAATAAGAAAGAAAAAACAAAAACACTTGCCAACAATTTTATGGCCATCGTTGTTGCTGATTAGCTGTTGCAGCCCTAGTCCAACACATGCATAAGCAAACCAACACACACACACACACACACACACACACACACACACACACACACACACAGAGATTGTGTTCTGATTAAGCCTCTATGTCTGGTCTCTTACACAATATACACACAAACATGGTTGGACAGGCTGCTGGCTCCAGCAGCAGGGCTATCCATTACACCCATGAGAAGCATGATCAGTTCTTCACAGCTGCCCTGCTGTTGTGTTTTATATCTTTTTTTCCTCTTGCTGTCCACCTAGTCTCTCAGCCAGACTAATGGGGATCAGCAACTGCAGCTGCACTCACGCCCGGGTTCAGCCTTGAGCCCAGGGCAGACAAAAGAAAAAGAGGAACGCACCCTGCCTCCAAGACCCAATCTACCAAATCCAGACCTTTCAGCCAAAGAACATATCCATTTGTGTTACAGTAGAGGATATGAGCAATAAAGTAAATATATAATCCCTGCACTGCCAACTCTCACTTCTTGGAAAGGTTTATTATGCATATTTGATTAGAGCCACAGAGAGAAAAACGACAGTCTACAGGAAAATTTTGCCTCCCCCACATGAGGCCAAGTACAATATAGTTTCCTCGGAAAAAGCTGCATGTGGTAATCGCACTGTTTCAACACCTTATTCCTCAGACACACCTATAGTTGTTTAACTGCACCAAAACCATTTCAAACGTTTTAGACACAGTCAAAGCATGTTGGCATTTAGGGTTGTGTCAGATCACTAGCTAACCGCAGTCCGACTTCTTTTTCACTTCTCTGGTTGGAAGTAAAGTTCACCAGTGTTTAATTTGGACTGATACGGTTTGATTTGAGTTTGGGTAACAGCAATTTGATATGCTGCAGTAACCCGAACCACAATGTTCAATGTAGGGAAGAGGAAACTAGAAGACTGTAAATATCCTTACAGCATCAAATAAGTCTGCATAGCTGTTTCTATTTTACATTAAATCAATGGTTAGGCCAAAAATCAACACGCATAATTTTATCCTTATAGTCAAATGTAGTCAATTCACTAAAACATGTTAACAGCCAAGATATAAATAATATATTTTGTGGACGTTTCCATTTGCCAAATGGGAACTTGGTAGAAGAGCTTAACTACAGGAACAGCAAGAGCTTAGCATGCACTTGCATTATGCTCTGCAGCAGGAATCAATTTCTATATTCATGCCTAATCACTGTTAGTATTACTATATATTTTTCATTCCATCTATGGCTTAGAAATCGCACAGTACCTAAGCCATAGATTGAAAGAAAGAAAAAAAACTTAAATTACCTGCATCACACATTGAGAGCACATCCTAACACAAGCCTAGCCCTGTACATACCATGAACATAGGAAAAAAATACTGAGCAAAACGTGCTAGCTGTTTCCCACATACTCTTTCAGTAAGTGACCAATCTTCAGGAGCAAAACCCTTCAAAATACCCCTTCTAACAATGTGAATCCCCTCATTTAGAATCATAACATAAGAGTCCTTTTTTAGTAGCACTACCAAAAATAGCAAATTGCACAGAAACTGTTTTAAGCTCTTGAGGAAAACCCATTAAGAGAATCTGAAGGAAATTGACCTCAAATATAAATTTCTCAGAACAGTTACGTTTTCTGCAGGTATTTGCAGAAAATTACCTCAATCATTTATCCTAAGTGTTGCCTTCAAAAGACACCAACATTTCTAGTAATGGTGAATACACGTTACCAAAAAAAAAAAAACAAAAACAAAAAAACAGGACATGAGTGTGGACCATGTGAAAACTGCTTTATGAAAGGATCTGCCTACATACTGCACACATAGGGCATCTTCTCTCATTTACTGCAGTCAGCATATCCAACCCTAATCTAACTGCTGGAAGATGGAAGACTGAGTTCTGGAGGCAAAGTAATGAGAGAATGTGGGGATGAACACGGATTTCACCAAAGTTTCTTCTTTTCTTTTGTTTTTTTTTTTTAGCTCTGGGCAAGGAGAACCAAAATGCAACAGGTTACAAACAGTGGTATATTTAAATAAAACTTAAAGACTATAGATTAAAAAATTAATACTTTCTCATACACACCATTGGGAATCACTATCTCAGCGCTCTATTTGAAACGACAGGCAGTGGTGGCTTAGTGGTTAGAGCCCTCGGCAATTGATCCCAAGGTTATGGGTTCAATACCAGGGTCTACTAAGTTGCCACCGTTGGACCCTTGAGCAGGGCACTTAATTCTCTCTGCTCCAGGGGCACTGTATCATGGCTGACCCTGAGCTCTGAGAAGAGTTTCGATGTAATGTGTAAGCATAATGACAATTAAGGTATTTAAAAAGACATCACATTTCACCACTCTCTTTCAGAACATAACATCTGACCATTATTAGCTTCCAGGTGGACCCTTTACACTCTGTTCACTATATACTATGAATTGTTCATTTAGCAACTACTATGAAACTAGGATACAGAACTTATGTAGTTAAGAGAATGAGCACAAGTGAGATCAGGACTGTATGGGACTCACCCTCGCATCATACTCCAACACAAATGGAGGGATGTCAATCTGTTCAGGCAGGATGCAGGTGAAGAGCTGCTGGAGGTTCTCTATGTGATGAACCTTCTCCTTCATTCCAGATACACTGAACGTGGTGAAGAACCATGTGGACACCTGACACAATTGAGCACAAAGGCAAATGTCTAGTGATGGCTATGCAGTGTGAAAAGAAACCTTATTCTGCCCTCTAAAAAGCAAAACTGATGAAACTTGCAGTTCATTGCAGCTTCTCCTCAAATTAAGCCAATAAGCAACATCCAACTGACAAATGGCTATCAGGCTTTTCAGCTTCCATTACATTTAGGTTGACTTAGCATGATCATAAAGAAAAAAGAAATAAGGACGCTTGAGCAGCACACCCTTTCCTCAAAACCAATGTTAGAGATCAGGGCAGTATGATCTGGGAAGACTATCTGCCATTTTTTCTGACCTATATTGTGATTTAAAATGTGATTGTTTTTATAAATATCTATTTTTTTTCATGCCTTTTTCCCCCCTAAAGAAGACCAAAAGATCTACTTTGCAAAGTTGAGGCTTGAACGCTGCTTGTTCACAAGTTCTGTGTTAGTAGGCTAAATATCTTAAGACAACTTTGAATAAATGTAGGGTATAATTAAAATTGCAGATCTTGTGATTTTAAAATTTTAAACTCTTTCAAACTGCAATTTTGATGTTAAAAATGTTTAATCAGCCCAATTAGAGATTAACTTAAAGAGCAACTAATTCTCAGCGCAATAATTACTCGTGCCTGAACACGTTTCATACCCGTGAGCATTAAGCTGATCTGAATGTATCAGACTGGAAAGGACGGCTTTATAAATAGGAGTTATCTGTTGCTTAACTGCAGAAGTTTGAAGAACATAACACAAAGGTACGCTAATTCCACTAACTAGCCGACCACGTACACATACGCAGATGAACTGTGGACTATCTAACTGTGGATGCAAAGAATGTCTCCCAAATGTTTTAGAGTGAAATTACACTGGAGATACAGAGAGGGCTTTACATACTAAAAACGTGAAGATGACCACTACATGACTCACAAAGCAAGCGCAGTGAATCCAACAGTGGATAAAACACTAAAACACTGTAAATGTAGACAGAAAAGCTTTCACAGGCCTGACATTTCTAAAACAACAGGAATGCACTGTATTAGAGATGTGAGGTCTGCGACATTTACCTTAGAGCGAAATGTGGGATGGACAAAATAAAAAGCTCTCAGGTTTTTCTTAAACCTGAAAATGAAAGAAAATAGAAAAAGAAAAAAGCATTTGTTAAATCTATCAACATATCAATAAATCCCTCATCACACATCATAATCACACATCAGAACACAAATCAAATTCCCCAGTGGCAAATAATTAACAGTTACAAAAGACAAGCTGGCTAAACAGAGAACCATCACAGCATATAACAATGTGCATTTTTACAGAACAGGCAAATGTAAGTGAAACAGGTCCAAGTGTCTCCAGAGTGCTCCCTCTCCTCAGTCCAAGCACACAGTGTAGTCCAAAGCACTCAGGCAGATACAAATTACCAGCACTGCAGTCCAAACCTGGAGGAGTGTGTTAGGGACACATTTATCACCCTTTCTCCTATTCCCACAATAGACACACAACATTCCTTGATTGGATGTATGAGAGTCAGCATTAAAGACAGTATACTGACGAGCCAACGGCACTGCATTAGACTACGTTTTTTTTTTTCCACTGGAAACAGAACAGCCTGCTTCCCCCTTAATTAGCCCGGCTTCATATTCACGCCACTCATGGTATAGACCAGTAATTGCCAGCCCTGGTCCTGGAAACTCCCTCCTCTGCACATTTTACTGCTCCCAACACACCTGATCCAACTAATGAGGTCATTAACAACTCATTACAGTGAAGCGGAGCAGTGAAGAACCAACACAGGCAGGACAGGCTAAAATGTAAAAGTTATAAAAATCTATTCCAAAAATTCCCATATTGGTGCATCTCTAGCATCCCCTCCTTTATTCAACTGGGGTAAATAAACAAATGCGTGGTCTGACATTAAAAAAAATAAAAAATAAAAATAAGTACCCTACATAAAAAAGAACTTACTATATTACATGAATTACAAGCCTACTGCATTGCAAATTCCATAAGAGGTGCTGTAAGATAAACAAAGGCCATTATAAAGTCAAGGTTTCCACTTTAAACACTGCTACCTAATGAAATGCACAGTTGGCACATGATCAGTATTAAATGGCAAAGAATGAAAAGGTTCATGAGCTTACTGGAATAACAACATTTTCTGCATTGGGATGTACTGTTACACCCCTAGCTCAAAACACATAAGGCAACAGGCATGATTTTAAAATCACAAATGGTTTGGGTGTTTCAGTATTCTGGATAATGCTGGAAGGAAAAAAGGGCCACTGGACCCAGAATTCTTTGGAAGGAAGAAATAAAAGCAGAGCCAGGGTGAAAGCCTCACGCGCGAGGGACCGACCTCCATGCCTGTTCCACTCCTACACTGAACACACATGCTGCTCTCAGTCAAGCCCGAACCACAATGGCCAACACCAGAAAAAATTAGGGAAGAGAAAATCGAGAGAGGGGAGTAGGAAGAGGAGTCAACAGAAATAGAAAAGAAAAATGCAAAAAGAACAGAATAAAAGAAAGACAGAAAGAAAGAAAGACAAAGACAGACAGACAGACAGAAATAGAGAAAGAAAGAAAAAAAAAGGGGCAACAAAAGAAGGAGAACATTTTTCACATAGGCTACTCTACACAGGCAAGCAAATGTATGACATGCAACCATGAGTCTCATTATGAGTAAAAGCTGCGATGAAGCTACGATGCTTGATAAACCTGCTCAGCCTACAGCAAGTGTGACTCTTCATACTTGACAGGTTTATTGTTATTTTTATTTTTGAGGCATTTGTGCGATGAGTGCCTACTGAATGCAAAACATATGCTTGACTTCATGTTCACCTCCCACAACTGTTCGTTAACTCACAAGTTTCAACAGAAACTCAACTTTTGTTTTTTAACCGAGGGAAGAACCCAGCATGGATTTTCACATGAAAGCTACCACTCTGACAAGTTATTATGCAAGATGTGTGATTATGAAATTCCATGGTACTGCATTCATGTGCACGCAGACTGACACTTGCAATCATTGCCTGTAGTACAGGTCTATATTGACAAAGGGGAATAATAAAAAAAAAATTGTGTTGTCACAGGGTCTGATTTATAGTGTGTCAAGGCCAATGCAATCACCAGCAGCGCTTTGACTCTCGAGGCCAAAATTTCCTCCAATTTCCCCCAAACTGTCCAGAATTTCATTTCACTCTTATGGGGATAAAAGACATCCTTTTGGCTGCACTAAAACAACAATTCAGAAAGCAGGGTGACAGGACAGAGCAGAATAGGTATGAGATGGAAAACTTGGCACAGCCCAGGGTCACTTACAAAAGCACTGGCTTAACTCCCATCAACTAACTAAATACAACAGGAGGGTCAGTGAGGTCAGACTCCTCACTGTAAACCTAGATGACAGACAACAGGCTTAAGAAGGAAAAAATACAGTCCCTCCCCATCTCACAAACACATCATGTGTAATCTTTTGGCTAAACTTTGGGTTAGAAAGCACTGTTTGGCAAAAAACACCTGATAAAAATTAAAACCAAGTGAGGCTGCATGTATTTTGAAACTCAGATGGGCTTATCTTTGTGTCAGAACTATTCTTATTTATGCCAAAAGAGAGTGCATTAGCCTTACAGCTGCATGAGAGGATCTCTCAAAAGGCCACTCATTGGTCACTGTATGGCATTTGTAGTCACTTTTGCATGTTAAAGCCCTATTCAAGCTGAATTAGCTTTATCAGAGGAGCTCCAGCAATATAATTTGTGCATGATTTGACTGGCTGATTCATATGGAATAAAGGATCAGTGTAATTTCCCCAAATGAATCCAAACAGCCCAGACTGAAACATCATTGCACTATGAGGCATGCATCACAATTCTAAACAGTAACAAGACAGCTAAATGTTAAATATGGTGCTTAACCACACAACAAAAACACACACACACACACACACACACACACACACACACACACACACACATGGATTTCAGTGTGGGGTGACTGATCAATGGCAAGTCCAAATTATGGCGCATAATCATTGTGTGGGAGGGAACATGCGCTGAACAAGCCGTTGTGGATTTAAGGGTGTCTTGTCATGAATTTGATGGTTAAGGCAGTGGGGCACATCGAAATGGATCAAATCCATTTAGCTGTTAGCCTTGTCTTCAGCTCTCCAAAAGCTGTGATTTTCAATTACCCAGTTTTGTTATTACTTTACTGTGATGTTGATTCGAACAGCACTATAGAAAGACACCCTATAAAGCCCTATTCTAGCTGGATTATGTTTTTTTTTTTTTTTTACCAGAGGAGGTCCAGTAATGTAATTTGTGTCGGATAAAGGATCTGTGCAATTTCCCCAAGGAGCCCGAATTGAAATCGTGCAAACTTTTTTTCGTTTACCTATGTTTAGGCACCACATTTCCAAACAATTTCAACACAGCTAAATATTAAACATGGCGCAAAACAAAAACAAAAACAAAAAACAACAACAAAAAAAACACCCCCACATACACAAAAAATAAGAATGTGAAACTGGACGAGGGAGAAGACTTCTCATTTCAGTGTGGGGTGACCATCGTTATGAATGGCAATTCCAAATGATGGTGAATAATCATCGCATATGAAAACTGCTGTGGATTTTAGTAGTCTACCCTTTTCCTGGTTTTGTTATTACATTACTGTGATGTTGATTTGAGCAGGATAACTGTTACTGAGGAAACTCTTGCGAAGAGTCCTGCGATTATAGATGGTAATTTACACTGGAATTACTTAGCAGACTTGTAAAAACTCCGGACACGGCAGATTCGTACTGGATTTAACCCACAGATTTTGTTGGTAATCATTACAGCACCTCCCCAGGTAAAACTACTGTAGCTTGAATACAGTTTAAGTCTACATGTAATAATGCACAAAATGCACCATAAACACTACTTACTTTATATCCACGATATCATAGAGCTTCTTAAGGAAATCTGTGTCGAGATGGTTGTGTTCACCAGTGAGAGTGTGAAAATACACCATCACGTATTCCTTCACTGTGATGTGATCCATCACATGGATAAAATATAACAAGGCCTACAAGCACAAACACCCTCACATGAACACAGAAGTACAATAGTGCAGATGCAGAAAAATGACTTACTGGATTCATAAGTAGGGTTATGTATACTTAATACAATTACTGAATTAAACAAATCAGATTTTTTTTTTACCTTCTCCATGTCAATAAGAGTTACTGGAATGTTCCTGCCTACAACCACCATTACTGTTCTGCCACGCACATCAACACCTGCAGGCAAGAAACACAGAGCATCATGGGTAACTGGAATTAAATTTGAAAACAAAACACTCTGGAGCTTACTCTGTTGAGATCATCTCCTTACAGAGCCGATTTTAATTAATTAAAAGATTTCCATAACCCGCTTCAGTTACCTTTGTTTTCTGAACTTACGTTCAGTACTGTAAAAGTAAATCAGGTTATATGTTCTGGAATAAACACAGCCAGATGTTTTCTTTCATCTAGTCTGTGTTCACCTGATTAATACAGTTACAGGCAGAATGGCCAGAGACAGTCTGCCCCCTTTTGGCCAAAGGTGACAATGTCAATTACTGAGGTCATACCAATCAGCGCTGTGCAAGTTAATTATGGTTGGCTTTACTAGCTGACTGTAAAAATGAACATAACTGCCTGGTGACAGTTACAGATGACAGGTCTTCAATCTCTAATTTACAGGCTTTGGACAGCCATGGGTATTACACACGGCACAGTGCTGTTGGTTTTGAACTCAGTAGGGTACTTCACCACATAGAGCTACGACACAACCTGACCCAGGCAACAAAGGGACGACGATCTAAAACATCACCACAGCAACCGTTTCTTTGGTGGCTATTTTTGATCTCGAAATCGTGAAACGAGAGAAACGGATTACAGAACCCCCTGATGTTGTGCTCAATGAGCTGGAACTAAGGTTTCCTGCCCAGTGAGCAAACACATGGGGAGAGAAGATCCAGCACGCACATGTGCACAGAGGCACACAGAAAGACAGCAAGAAAGGAAGGAAGCAAAGAAGCTCATGTGTGCTGGAGAGAGAACGAATGGAGAAGCCGTGGGAGCACAGACTGACTCCACATTTCTGGACTGTGATTATACATTTACACACATTAATACAGTGAACAAAAATGGACCTGTTTGATATAAAGCTTTCAGTGCCGCTATGTCCGAGAGGTCCTCTGCTCGAGCTCTGCACAGCCAGCGGTTATAGCTGAAAGACAAGAAATAAATAGACTCGTTATCTAAACAGACTGACTCACAGAAAGCTTATGACAGAATTGAATCCCTACATAATAAATATACACTTTAGTGGACATTAAATAAATAACAGTAATACTTTCTCAGAAGGAGTCAGTTGTCAAAAAACCTGACTGCTGATCAGATCTTCATGACCACAGACCTATCTTACAAAAATACCTTTAGGCATCTAAGATAGGTACATATGCTCTGCTTTAAGACACTGCAGTATGGGGGAAGGCAAAGTCTTACTTTCTCTGGTGTTGTTTCTGCTGGGCTGCCTCAGAGAGCTGGCCCTGTAGAATCTGCTTCCGCTGCTTATCCACATCACCCTCCATGCGCGCAAATGCATGATTGCCCACCAACCCCAGACCTAACTCCAGAGACTCATCCTCCGAATCATCTGCAACAAACACACAAACTGAATTATACCCTTTAACATTCCATAACCACTGAGATCTTCATAGAAACAGTAAGATTCACTGGAGGTGACCAGCAGCCCAGTGGTAGGCGAGATGAGCCAGCAAAGATCCTGGGTTTAAAATCCCAGGATTGACATGGGGTTCTTTGTTGTGTCCCTGGGCAAGGCACTCAAGCTCCACTGCCCCAGGAGGGACAGCTCTGCTGGCAAAGCTGTGCCACTCCCAGATTGGTGCATAGTTAGGCAGCAAAATGACAAATTTCCTCTACAGGATCCATAAAATACATCATACATTATTAAGGGTTCAGTTTAATACTTCCTGATCACCAGAAGCTGTGTGAATTCTGACAGTGACTCTAGTGAGGCTCCCATTCAAAAAGTTTATAAAGTTTGAGCAGATTTAAAAAAAAGTTGATAAAAGAAAATGTGCATTAATCAGGAGTTCCATCAATTACTGTTCTGTGCAAACTCCTGAAGTATCCATGACGCACAAAATACATTGAACTGTTGATGTAACTGACTAGTCACCTCGTGTCTCCCCTACCAGTGATTATAAAATCCAGGATGCAACGTCCAGTTTTGAAGGCCTCTGCTTTATTAGCTCTCAGTAGAGCTAGTTTTGACAGCTCTGTCCACCGTACGCGGCTATAGCGCTGATAGTTCGAAGATGCTGGGGGAGCGGGCAGTAGCCCATTTAATGAGGGCTGAAGCTGCAGTCCCACTTAACTGTCATGCACTGAACCCCTACAAACACCACTGAGATAAACAGTTCTGAGTGGACATAGTGCCAAACATGTGACTTTTGTTCATGCAACATCAGCCATTATCCAGTAAACCAACTTTACCACTTTGTTACCCAAGCATAAAACTTTTTTTGCAATATTTAGGCATTTATTTTCCATTCAGTTTTTTATGCACACTTTTGAAATTTACATAAAAGAGGTGGATGGAAAACATTATTAATATATTTATATTGATTAGGAGGTCCTAATTTTAGGACATTAGACCCAATTTTCAGTGCTGGGTTGTAACCACTGGTAATTTCATTGAACTGCTGGACTAACTGATTGGCCACCTAGTATCATAACTACCAGTAACGGCTAAATCCAGGACCAGAAACTGCATTCGAAGTCCAGATTTGAAGACGTCTGGTATAGAGGCAAGGCTTGAAATTACAGCATTATGTTGATGTCCCAGCAGGCACAGAATGCTAATGTTCTAGATCTGCCTATATTAAAATCTTCATTTCACAGATTCCTAAAACTTCTGTCTTGCTTCATGTTTTGCAGAAGTTCTTAACGTGACAGTTCCAACTGTTTATATCCAGAGTTTTGAAGGAAGCACTTTCTTGTACACGATATGGCCAAAAGGCACCCCTCCTATTTCAGTTAATGTGTTTCAGCCACACCCATTGCTAACAGGTGAATAAAATCAAGCACACAGCCATACAATCGTCATAGACAAACCCTGGCAGTAGAATGGGTCGTACTGAAGACCTTTACCACAAGTCAGTTTGTAAAATTTCTCCCCTGCTAGATCTAAAGTGATATTGAGACACCACATTTTAAACCTAAGCAGTAGACCATGCAAACTCACAGAATAGGGCTGCCGAATGTTGAAGCATGTAGTGTGCAAAACCACAGAGCTCCAAACTGCCTCTGCAAGCAACATCAGCACAAGAACTGTGTGCTGGGAGCTCCACAAAAAAAATGGATTTCCTTGGCCAAGCAGCTGCACAAAAACCTAAGATCACTATGCACAATGCCAAGTGTCAGCTGGAGTGGTTTAAAGCTTTTCACCACTGGACTCTGGAGCAGTGTGTTCTCTGGAGTGACGAATCATGCTTCACTATCTGGAAATCTAACAGATGAATCTAGGTTTGGTGGATGACAGGAAAATACTACCTAATGGAATGCATAGTGCCAATAGTAAATTTTGGTGTAGGAAGTATAATGTTCTGAGGCTGTTTTTCAGGGTTTGGACTCAGACCCTTAGTCCTAGGGAAGGGTATTATTATTGCTCTAGTACACAAAGACATTTTAAATTATTTTATCCATTCAACTTTGTGGCAACAATTTGGGAAAGGCCCTTTCCTGTTCCAGCCTGACTGTGCCCATGTGCAAAAAGCAGGGTCCATAAAGACAGGGTTTGTGGAGTGTGGTGTTGAGGACATCCTGTGGCCTGCAGAGCCCTGAGATCAAGCCCACTGAAGATCTTTGTGATGAACTGGAATTTCGATTGTCAGCCAGATTTTCTTATTTGATCTGACAAATGCCCTCTAGACCGAATTGGCACAAATTTGCACACACTCCAAAATCTTGTTGAAAGCCTTCCCAGAAGAGTGGAGGCTGTTATGATCACAAAGTGAGAGGGGCATCTCCATATTAATACCTATGAATTTCGAATGTAAAGTTCAATAAACTCACGTAGGTGTGACGGTCAAGCGTTCTCATACTTTTGGCTATGCAGTGCACCTACTGCCCTCAACCACAGGCAGTTCTTTTGGTTGCCTTGCAAAGTCAGGGATATCAGATTGAAGTTCTGCTTTTTAGCCTAACACTAGGCTAAGGCTAAGGCTATACCCTATCTATGCCTGAAGTGTTTCTGTTTCACCTCATTAGTGAAAGGGTGGATTATTCATAGGTGCATATAACTGACTGATACCTTTCTTTGCTGACATATTGTCCCTAAAGTCTTATTCCCTCTACTAGTAATCAGTGTACTGAGTCAGTCAGGATGCATGATGCTTCTGGTTATGCTCCAAGACATTGTGAGCTTGACTGCTGACATTTGTCAAACAGAGCAGTTATTTTTCTATGTCAGTAACAAGAATAAAGGAGCCCCTTTACCAAAAGAGAGCCCATCTCTGGAACCTACAAGACTATGCAGCAACAGAGATAAGGGTTGGTGTCTTCTCTCTTCGTGGAGTATATTTACATTCTGGGCAATGATAAAAGGAGTTTATCAGTGCAGGTTTGAACCAATGCTATGGTTGGCACAGCCTTCCTCTGCTGGCCCTGGGGAACATGATGTAGTGTTGAATAGTACAAGGAAGGCATTCTAATGTGGTGAGCTGGCACACTATGAACATCATTGACACTGAGGAGTTAAGTTACGTTCGTAACTGGCAATAGGTTTAAAATGCATAACAACCAAAATCTCACATATGCTTGCATTTTTCAGTTGACACAACATGCCAGGTCTGATAACTCCAGCATTGGAGCAATTAATCAAAGACTGGCCACCCCCACCAGAACTCCTAGACCCCAGGACGTGTGATGTGGAGCCAGGTGGCCTGGGAAATTATACTCCTACTGTTATTTGAATCTCAAAGCAGCATGCCAAAATGTGCTGCTCTGTTGTAACACTCCAACCATATCTCAGCGCACCTAATGGATAATGTCTGATTGCTCAGCTGTCCTTATTTCCTCTCTCCTGCTCCATGATTACTGTGAGTGAAAGGTACTGTGGAAAGGTCAAAAAAAATCAGTCATGGTTCAAAAACAGGCACACCATTTCTTCTATGAAAAGACCATGCTTACCCTGGATTAGAGCAAGAAAGAACCCAGCTTTGGGTGAAAGAAATGCACAAAACTGAAGTGACTGAATTAAACACAGATGTCTCTGCTATGTTATTTTTGGCCAAAATGCTTCTATCATATTAATGAACAAAGTGAGATTTTGTTTTTTCTAATAACTGCACCATACGGTCCTTTTCATCCACTTCAGAGGCCCAAAAGCCTCGATTCTCTTTGACTAAGCATGGCCTTAGTAACAGCGAACAGTTCCACACGGAGACCTTGGGCTGCCCTCGCACATCCTGCACTAAAGCACCGAGTTGCAGGCAGGGATGCAGTCACGTTTATTTACATTGGGACTGGCTGATGCACAGTTTGTTTGAGTTGGCTTGATAGCTCAATGGAGGGGTGACCATCTCAACACAGCTGGACCACAGGCCACAGGATCTGGGACTGGAATAATGGCTGGCAAACAAATATAAGTGTCCAAACCCTCACTAACAAATAAACATGTCCATGTGGGCTTACTGACAAAGCAGAAACACACAATCATACAAAAATACACACATATAGCAATGCATTACAGTTGAAGGCAAAATTTGAGGGCTTTTATATGCCTGCTGTCACTGCACCTGTTGTGGCTTTGAGGGCCTGAGGATTGCATGCAGGCTGAAGAAGCCTCCAGAAAATACCACTCAGCACTCAAAAGAAGCAAAAAATGACAGGCCAGCAAGGAAGAACTGGCTCATTTTACTTGCCCAAATTTGCTCTACAATAACCAATGGCCTGTCTTATTGCATTATACGGACACACTAAAGATTTTCCATTCTGCTGAGGGATATTATTCATTACTGAGTATTCTTCACTGTACCAAAAACATTTTCCCATGAAAGCCATCCTTGCCCTGGAGAGAGATCGTTTTTCAAATCTGCTGATGCAAAGTTGGAAACAATGAGAATGATTAATGATATGCCTTGCATTACTGGTTTAACAGTTCAATCTATCCTTAAAGAGTAATATTAGTCTACGGGTTACATAAGCTAATTTGATAAATGCTGACTGGTATTTTCCTGGAGGCATTTTTCGAGTGGCACTGAACGAGCACGATCATATTCCAAAGTCTGGATCACGGTCATCCCTTTTAGGAGTGTGAAAAGCTTTACAAAACCAAACCATATTTTCACTCCACTGACTGATCATGTTGTACATGTGCTACATAAAACAGGCTGAAAGATGCCAGGTTAGTGTGATTTTTGTGTACTGAGCTCACCCTCCAGGCTGCCAGGCTTCTCACTGATGCGGATCTGTCTCTCCGGCACCACCGGCTCGCCTTCAGAGTTCCCAATATCTGCAGGGAGGAGAGGCAAGCTGGCTCTCTCCTCGTCTTTTGAGCGCGGGTAATATAGCGGCAGTAACTTCTTGTATACTGCCTGAGTAGCACACGGCATTCAGAAACACACAAAAAAAGCCTGAAGTTAAATGCAATCTCATCAGCCACAGGAAAATAAGTGCTCTAAAGCTTACAACTCAGTGAAGCAATCAGAATGCATTATGACTTGCTTTCATGTTTGATCAAGACCTGACATTCAACTGAAACAAGCCTAAAATCAGCTTACAGCACAAAGTGATTCTGCTAGGTTTCATTTACTAAAAAAACAAACAAGCTTGACATAAAAATCAGCGCAATTTGAGAGAGTTAGCACATAATGAAGGCATGTAAGCTAGAAAAGAGTGCCCTAATGCAACAAGTGACATAACATAGAACAGACCTCCTCAGCATCTGAAACTGCAAACACCACAGCCTCTATGCTTTCTCCATGGTTCTCAAGAAACCTGCGAACAGTTCCTGACAAAAGAAATGACAAATAATGAGCCAAAGACTTTTAGGTTAGAAAGTGGTTAGTTACATTTAGTTACTGTTGGAACAAAATCTTGTATCTCCAAAAAAGTACCTTTACAGGAGAAGGGAAAAAAAACTCCTGTTCAAAGTTAAGATTTATGTAACAAAATCTTATTTTACATCACTTTGGACAATGAAATTGTGAAACACTGTAAAAATCAGCTGGTATTCTCAAATTATATAAAAAAAAAACAAAAAAACAAAATAAAGTTGAATGAATTTTGTTCCAACAGTGACAATGTGCTAATTTTGTTTCTTATAATACAATTGTTTCATGAAAGGGATTTACTGAATGCTATGTGAGTAGCGTCTTCGAGGGGATATCCTCTCTTTGCAGTACTGATCACACAAAAACCCACAGAGACCATGGCGTGCTCCCTGGAACGAGACACGTGAACACAGAAAGCATTAGACTCCAATTTACACACATTCTGTGTCTTTCAGATGCACTCGCAGTAGTGACTGAATTACCCTGAGAGAAATTACTCCAATAAGCTGAAACCGTTCACTGTAAAGCAGCAGACAGGAGACTCTTTGATGAAGACATACTTTGCGTAAATAAGGCTTAATGTAATCAACAGCTCTGCTGTCACAGAGTCATGCCCAAATCGCTCAGTGCAGTTATACAACTCTGGCCTGTGGGATTAATGGACATGCACTGGAATCTAACTGGAGTCTGGCACATTCTGAACTTGGCAAATTGAGCTGTGCTCAAACATTGAAAACCAATTCTTAGCACTCTACATCAGTGTAATGCAGCTTTCTGACATGTACATGGCTGATAAGTGAACAGACAATGTTTATTTATTGGAAAGTTTATCATAATGTTTCCTTAGAGACAGAGGTGTTTGTAATGATAGTGTGTAAGAGAAGGCGGTTGTGTGCTAATCTGCCATTAGGTGATGTAATTGGACAGGCTTACTTGGCGAGCTGCATGACGTTTCTATAGCAGCTGTATAAAGAGCTCTCAGCAGCTGTGCGATACTTGGCTTTGTATTTGGGTCCAACTGTATGAACGATAAAGCGTGCAGCCAAATTGAAACCCTCAGTCATTTTCGCTTCCCCTGTCCGGCAGCCTGTAACAACACAAATATCCTCCCGTGAGATCAGGATGCAAGACGCTTAAAATATTTTAAAAACAAATGCACGAACATTCACAGTAGGCACAGGAGTGTTGCTCTGTCTTGTTCATATTTCTTCTCCTAGTGGTGCCCCCTACCTTTCAGTTTGAGTAGTTCATCCCTGAGCTCAGGGCCAGCATGCCTGTGAATGCTGTCTGAGATCGGATTCTTATCGGTTAGCGTCTCGTTGGTCGTGTTCACTATAGCAGTGCAGTTCAAAAGTGCCACGTCCCCTTTGCTGTAATGAAAAGCACAAATAATATCAATCAGAAACACCCAAGGAAAGCAGTAAAAAGTATGCAAGTGCTAAACACTGAATTGTTTCTTCATTGTAAGAATACAAAATTTATGATGGCCATCATTTCTAGAGAAAAGAGCCCATCCGGTGTTCAGAGAAGGAATTCATCTACTTCAGTGTACTTAGATTTGTTCCATGTGCCTTTGGTATGTAAAGAGGAACTAACTCCAAACTATTGGATGCATGCCATCATGACACTAAAGGTTGTTGTTCAGTGATGCTACAGCATCGTTTGCAAAAGTCAAGATACAACTGGACTTTAGTTTAAGGTAGGGACTCTTGGAAGAGGTCACATCACTCCCCAAGCAGAAAATGGACAGAGCAATTAGTAGTCTACACCATTTAATAGTGCTACATTATTAAGATCAGTACACAGAAATGAGCAACAGTTGCAGTACACAAAACTTACCATCTTATATTAAGCATCTACTGTGAAAAAACAATCTCTATTTAAAAACTGTGACCAAACACGACAGAGTAACTTCTTAAAACAGCAAGAGTGAATTTCCCTTTTTCCCCTCAGAAAAAACAGAAGCTATGTAATCAGAGTTGTGCAAAATGGCTGTCCATAAACAGTCATGTTGCTAAAGGAGCAGCCAGAGGGACCTAACACTATCATGTGGTTGTGCAACAAAGAGGATTTATGTTCACATGGCAAGAGGCTGGGAGGGGAAGGGAGGGGAGTGGAGGGGGTACTGAGTGTATGAAGCTGGCACAGAAACTTTGAAAATGCAGAAATCATGTTCATGTAGACCAGCAGCTAAAGGTTACAGTGAAAAGAAATAAAACAATCAAGTACGATAAGAGAAAAGTAGACAGACACTGAGGAGAGCCTGACTCATTTGAAACCCGTGTAGCAATAATGCTACCAATTTTAGGAAGCTAAAACTCTTTCCAGTCTACAGCAGTTTAGTACAGCTCATTCACGCTGAAGTTCTAAGTGGTGTTTCAGCATGGACTGCTTTTTGAATGAAACACAGCCAATCATAACAGAGATCATTTACATATAGTCTTATTTGCAGAGTTAACAAAAACAGCCTGGTTAATTCTAAGGGATAAGGAGAGATTGGAAAATGGCCATGTAAAAATGAATCATGAGTGCTTCTGGTAAATAAACTACACAGACGATATAAGTGGACCTCAGGAGAAAAAGCTGTCATAGACATGGTTTCTGGCCAGCATTTGGGCTTTTCAAACAGTGCTTTACTGGAAAAGTCTTAGCAGTTTTGTTTGCTGTTAATTAGCTCTTATTTTTCATCTTTTCATGAACTTTTTTTGCACTTTCCTTATGTTAGGCATTAAGTGTGGATGCGTTTACATGCTTTTGTTATTTTAACCATTACTATGCTTTGTGTTCACATTTAGCAGCTCAAGTAATATTGCTGATAGTCTTTTTGAACCACTGAATCCTCAAAACTGCCTTTACAAGCAATTAAATGTGTGCTTTATTGGGAGCGGGATGATCAATTCAATTGAAGTGACACAACCTAAATATCGGCCAACTGATTGATCAGTCAGGTCCTAGTACTCACAAGAGAATAATCTTCCTGTTGATATCCTCTCTGAATGGGAAAGGAGAGAGAAGAGAGTTGATCTGGTAAGCCAGGTTGTCCACCTCATCCCTCTCAGGACCTTCTCTTTTCGCCTCTCTGTCCTCCACGAATTCAGGCTGATCCCAGGTGTGAAGGTTCTGGACTTCTACAAACTGAGACCGAGCTCCCAAGGGATCCATGCTGAGGATCGGCAGTTCAGCAGTGAACTGAGCAGAACATACACACAATATACAGAGTCTGTCTGTTAGCAGTCTGTCAGGCCACATTAATACATGAAATACTTACACAGAGCACCATTCAGCAGAAATGTCATAAAGCAATTACAGTGACAGCCTTCTAAGTTTCAGGGATAAGACATAAGAAACATCTGTGATAAAACAGGCTACACTGTTTCACAGAGCTTTTTGTTTTGATGACATTTCCCAGCAGTGATTAGCACTTTCATGACATTTGAATTGTGACAAATGTAAAACAAATGTTAACAAATGGCAAAATGGCAAACAGCCTTTTAATCAGTAAATATAAAAAGTCAGCGTCTTTTTTCCTGCAAACACGTTATAGATATAGTGTTGGGAAAAAGTATTTGCCCCCACCCAATTTCTTCTATTTTTGATAATTTGCCACATTTAAATGTTTCAGATCATCTAACTAATTTTGATGTAAGATAAAGACAACACGAGTAAACAAGATGCAGCTTTTAAATGATCATTCCATTTATGGAAGATAAAGATTCATTCAAATCCTGTATCACCCATGTGAAGAACAATCAAATGTTTATGATAATTTGCAATGAATCTTTTACATCACTGTGGATAAATTTTAGCCCATTCTTCTTTGCAGAAATGTTTTAATTTGACTATATTTGAGGATTTTCAAGCATGAACTGCCCATTAAAAGTCTGTCTTTCTAATAGAGAGCAGAAATCATGGTTCCATCAATTATGACAGGTCTTGCAGAAGCAAAGCAGCCCCAGATGATCGCATTACCACCACCATGTTTGTCTGTTGGTATGTTGGTACATTCTTAAGGTGGAATGCGGTGTTAGCTCGATGCCAGACATAACGAGACCCACGTCTTCCAAAAAGTTTCACCTTTGACTGACCAGTTCACAGAATATTATCCCAAAAGTCTGTATGTTTTTTGGCAGGTGCAAGACGAACCTTTGTGTTCTTTCTGGTCAGCAGTGGTTTGCATCTTGCAGCTCTCCCATGGATGCCCTGTGTCTTACTTATTGTAGAACCGTGTACACTGATCTTAACTGAGACAAGTGAGACCTGCAGTTCTTTAGATTCTTTCACCTCCTAGATGAGTCATTGATGCGCTCTTGGTGAAATTCTGGTAGGCTGGCCACTTCTGGGAAAGTTCACCACCATTTCAAGTCTTCTCCACTTGTGGATAATGGCTCTTACTGTGGTTCGCTGGAGCCCCAGAGCCTTAGCAATGGCTTTAAAACGCTTTCCAGACTAGTAGATTTCAATGACATTGTTTTGCATCTGTATTTAAATCTTTTTAGAAAGTGGCATCATGTGCTGCTTTTTGAGACCTTCTAGCCTGCTTTGTCATTGACAGACCAATTCTATTTAAGTGATGTTTAGATTCAACAGGTCTGGCAGTAATCATGCCTGGGTGTGGCCAGAGAAACTGTCCCGAATAGTGAAATGAATTTAGTTAACTGGTTGATTTAGTAGCTAAAGGGGGTAATTACTTTTCACAGGGCCAGGTAGGGCTGAACAGCATTTTTCCTTCAATTGATGAAGTTATCATTTAAAAACAGCAATCTGTGTTTGCTTTGGTTATGTCTGTCCGATATTAAAAGTAGTCTGATAATCTGAATCGTTCAAGTGTAATAAATATGAAAAAGCTACTGGGAAGGGGCAAATACTTTTTCACAGCACTGTATATTTTCCTGTACACACAATCTTAGCCTCGTATGCCTCAGTGATAAGCCACAATATCAGTCTTGTGGAGAAATGTGACTCGCATTTCTGAGCATTATCGCAAGGTAAGAAGATGAGGAGAGGTATTCATATGAGGTGACTCCTTCATTCACTGAGCTGCTACATTAACCACCACTGAGAACATCTGCGTGCCCAGGGAAGAAAAAAAGAACTGATGAAATGGTGCGTGCAAACGTTTATGTTTCCAAATTAGATTCTGGAGAGAAAAGTACCAATGACTGCTGTACAGACTCTAAATAAAACAATGTGAAAAGTTTAGGTTAAAAAAGCCAACGTGGTTTTAGCAGATGCACGGAGCTTAATGGTTTCTCAAAAAGTCTTTCCAAATTACTGTGTTAGGTATTTTATGATGTTATGTCTAGGAGGAAAACCAGAGCTTGAGGATGTCATCACATGCTCATGTCATCACCCATCTCCAAGAAAACTGAAGACTAATCAGGACCTGCCTTGCTTTAAGAGTTAGAGTACTCCCATATATTTGACTCCAGTGCTTTTTAGAAGGATTTTTTCTACAAAATTTTATGCCAAAATGATGGAGTATGACATCAAAATGGAGTTCAATAGAAAAAAAACACAATAATAATAATAATAATAATAATATTAATAATATTTCAGCTGAATGGAGAACAAGTGTTACAAATAATAACCCTGAAATGTTACAGCACAGATTACCGTAAAAGTTTTTTTAAGCAAGTTTTGCAACATGCTCAATTCAGAAACAGTCTAAAGCAATGTTTTGCAACATTCCCCTCCTCCTGACCACTGGAGCACTGGATTCACACGTATAAAACTTCCTAAAGCACAGTGCTGACCATCAGCTCCACCATGTCTATGACAGGTCCAAACGAACACGCAGGCAGTACTCTTAATCTAGGAAAGGTGACAGATTGATCACATGGCGCAGAGGTTTTTTCTGGCCAATAATTTTGTTTTAACAGTAAAATAAAAAACAGAAGCAAAATGAGAGCATAATACTAACAAAAGTAGCTCATTTACGCAGTTATCTGGTGCGAACATCAAGAAAGTATTATTTTGAGATTCTATACATGATACAGACTTCACGCTTGATACATACACACAAAATATACAATCCTGAGCACTCCGCTTATATATTTGATGGAATACTATTTTATTTGAATTTTTTAAGTCTGTGGTCTCCCACTAGAGAAATGAAGGTTGTCATGTGGCTGCACAGTAACAGAATTCACAGTTAATAACAGACTTAAACCCTGAAGACCACAGACCACAGAGAAAGAAGAACCAAGCTGATCTGATGGGACCTGTCAGTGCGGTAGAAGAATGAAAGAGTAGAAGTCGACCATGTTCCAGCATGGAAATACGAAGAAAACAGACCAACTAACAAGACTGCACTAAATAATAGGGAGGAAGGAGCGATGGAGTGATGATACTTACTCCGAGCCCTACTGCGGCTGCAGCTGCAGCCCACCCAGACCTGCCGTTAGCTCAGTTAGCTCACCGGCTACCAAACACGGGAGGAAACGAGCACAGCGAGCTTTCTCAAAAGAACAGGGAAAAATTCAGCATAATCTTCTGCTTACTGTGCCATTACAGAACGTGTGACCGGGCGAGCGTTACGGTCAATGAGACACCGTGTTATGTTCGCAGTCTAAAGGATCTTATTCGAGCTGATTTAGCGTGTGTGATCAGCTGATTCACGAGTGAACTTGATCACTTCCGGGAGGCTGCTGTAAGGGACCGTCAAAACATTGGCGACTTGTGCTTTAAACGCACAGTCTGCAGTGAATCTGTGCAGCGCGGCATTTTTTCAGGACTTGTATTATTAATTATTGTTATCCATTAAATGTGAAGTAAATAAATAAATAACAATATTCTCTGTTTAATCACATCTTATTGCACAAACTCACTCCCAAATCCTCAGTAACATGATTCGGCAAGGCCAAAGTAATCGAAAGTACACAAAGTAATTTAAAGCACATTGATGTAATCCAATACACATAATATGATATTTAAACCGTTTACATAAATTCAAACAATGATCTATGTTTAAATTAACACAAAAAAACAAGGTTTACCCAGTTCATAAACCTCCAAATCGATCTGGGAAATCGATTACTCCGGACTTTGTTGAAGACCACATGTGACTGGATGATGGAAGAGCTCGACAACCTGCTGCTAGAAATCTATTAAATAAAATCAGTGGATTACTATTTAAAAAGGTACGTGGGTGAGCAGAGTTTGTACTGTAGTTGTTTGTGGAAAATTATTAGTTGAATTGTTAGATTATTTGATTTGCACCTCACATCACACACGTGGGTCCAGTCGACCAGTGAGTTTTAGCATGTTAGCCTGGACCACAACACTCTTAACACAGCAATGTTAAAATAGTCAGCAGTTGCATTCAGACGCCTCAGGCGGATAAGAAGTGACTTCAGCTTCGTGTAAGTTAATGTACGAAAGTTTAGCTACAGTTTACATAGTTTTCTAATATTGACTGTGACTCTAAGTGGAGATTTTGGAGTGAAAACAGGTTCAGTTAGCTGTTAGCTTGTCTTATTGACTGTTGACTAACTTAGGTTAGTTGTTGCATCTTAAACTTCACACTGTAAAAACTTTAGAATAAAATTTCTAATTGAAAACGTTTTCACTTTGTGTCCAAAGGTTGGGGAAAGCTTCCTGCGACTTGCCATGGGCCTGACTAAACAGTACCTGCGCTACACCCCCTCTGCTGTTTTCGGTGTGATTGGCAGCCAGAAATCCAACATCGTGTTTGTGACCCTGAGGGGCGGTGAGAGGGGGAGATACGTAGCGGTGGGAGCCTGCGAGCATGTGTTCATATGGGATGTGCGAAAAGCGGAGAAGGTAGCTAAAGTTTCAAGCCAGTAAGATCTCATTATCCCCCAGCTCAGTCCTTGAGGACCTGCAGACGGTTCATATGTTTACTCTGTTTCTCAAGCACACCTGTATCAGTTGCTTGCTTGGTTCAGATGTATTGGAAGGTGGGATGGAGTAAAGATGTGGACCATATGAGGGTCGCTAATGGCTGAACTGAGAGGCACTGCATTACTGTTCATGAGTTATGACTGTTACAAACAGTATCACTAATCTGCCTATTGCTCTCTAATTTGGTGTATTTTGTGGAAAACTCTGTCAGTGACCAAAAAGTAGGCATCTAGATGCATCTTATTGTGATCTAATGTGAACACTCGTTTGCACAAGGACATACTGCTTTACAGTTTGAAATAAAATTTGTGTTTTTCAAAGCCTAGCCAGTTTCCCAAAAGCATCTTAGCACAAAGAAGATTCTTAAAACGGCAGAGTGAGCAACACACTGAACTAATAAACTAATCTGTTTTCTTATGTCTCTGTGAGACTGATGATGTCTTGTGGTTGAATCAGTCGTAAATGACAGCTGTTAGCTGATTTACTCACCTGCTGTTTCAATTTGTTCTTTTCCTAGGTTTTAATCCTTGAGGGTAATAAACATGAGGTGACATATCTCTGCCCCTCTCCTGATGGTGTCCACATAGCTGTGGGCTATGAGGATGGCAGTGTGCGCATCTTCAGTCTATTAAATGGTGAAAGCAACGTCTCCTTTAATGGACATAAATCTGCTGTCACAAGCATCCAGTATGATGCCCTGGGAGCACGGCTTGTCACTGGGTCCAGGGTAAGAACAGAGCCTGTGTCTGATTTTTCTCCTTTGCACTACCCTGTAAAATGACACAAAGTGTGATCTGACATTTGTTCCTAAGTGAAGAATATCTCACTACAACTGTATAAGGAGCTGTTTTCTTTCTTTCTGAAGGACACAGACGTGATTGTGTGGGATGTGATAAACGAGTGTGGATTGTACAGACTCAAAGGGCACAAAGATGCCATCACACAGGCTTTGTTCTTAAAGAACAAAAATCTGCTGGTGACAAGGTCAGTCGGATTCCTTTTAAATAATGTAACAGCTCAAATACAAAAGGTTCTGAATTGAATCACTATGTGCTGTGTATCTTCAGTAGATTATCATTCTGTAAATTGTTAAAATTGTTTGTACTCTGATAAATGAAAGCCATTTTCTGAAATGACTTGCTTATATCGTATTTTTCCCAGCTCGAAGGACAGTTTTGTGAAATGGTGGGACTTGGATACCCAGCACTGTTTTAAGACCATGGTGGGCCACCGAAGTGAGGTGAGCAGATCCACCACATTACACCTGTTGCAAAATCAAATAACATCATACTGTCATTGTGAGGCTGTATATTTAGTACAAAAGTGCCTCTAATTTCTGGTGTAATCTGGTGTTTTAATGTTTGGAATTCATGTTATTTTGCAGTGTTATTCAAATGCAATTGTACAGTTGGGTAATTACTAGGGGGGGCTCAATTCCACTTTTTCATGTTTGATACCGATACCACAATATTGAGTATCTGCCCATAACAATACCACCCCCCCCTAAAAACTAAACTGTTAACTAAGCTTACATTTGCACTTGGTTTATATTCTATATTGATAGATGTGAGGCTGCTATTCTGACTTATTTCCATTTGTTTTTAATGTTAACAAATGACAAACACAAGGCAAAAATGTAAAATCAGCAAAACTAGACAGTACACACAACCACATTTCCTACTTGCAAACATAAAAGCAAATGATTGAAAACTTACTGTCAGCACATTTGTAACTCTGCTTATGTCAGTACACTGTGTGAGGGGGGGATAATTACTATCAAGTAACTCCATGCTTTTGTTACTGCTGGTGATAATGTTTTAGTGTTGAAGATGGCATTTTGCACATATTAGGAGCTATAAATAAATATCACTAATCCTCTTTCATTCTTTAGGTATGGGGAATGGTTCTGTTGAATCAGGAGAACAGGCTGCTGACTGGCTCAGCTGACAGTGAGCTCCGAGCTTGGGACATTGACTACCTGGAGGAGGTAAGGAGATATAATTTAGGCCATATGTTTACATGATGAAAAAGCTGTAAAATCCTTGTTCGGCGTATTACTGAAACATGAGAAATGTAATATTGTCTGTACTCATCTTTCCTGCAATATTAATCTCTTCAGAAGAAAGAAGTGGGGGAACCACGGGAGAAAAAAGGGAAAAGTCTTTTTGATGATGATGACGACAATGAAGATGAAGGCCCTAATGAAGACCCAGAGGAGGTGCTGCTCCTGTTATTAATGATAGTGCTTCTTCTCTGCCTTCTGTGCCCATATGATTGTTGTCTAGGTGTTGACATGTCTGGATATGATCTTATCATATCACTATAATTTTATGTGATATATTTTTGTGTTAGAAGAACATACTTCAGAACACGTTTGATCTTCCCTCTATCCTGTCTTTCTCCAGAGAATCCTCAGCTGTAAGAAAGCCGGCTCTGTTCTGAGGGAAGCCAGAGACAGGGTTGTGTCTTTGACTGCTGACCCCAAAGCTAAAGTCTTAGCATGTCATGTATGTATTTTCTGTGACTGTAAATTTAAAATATGCGAGATATTTGTTGTTAAATGGCTACAGTGTTATTGACTTCTCCAGTGGTTCATCTGTATAGGGCCTAGATGCCAATCTGGAGATCTTTGCTGTGCTTCCAGAGGAGGAAATTCAGAAGAAAATGGAGAGAAAGTTGAAGAAAGCCAAGAAGAAGGCCAAGTGTGTGATGACTATTTAGATTATTATGAACCAAACAATAAAAAATCAGCATTTTAACATCTAAAATTTCCTAAATGTCCTTTTGCACATAATTGTGGTGCCTGTGGTCCAGGTCTCAGGATGGAGATGCTGATGCAGCAGACCCAGTAGTGGAGAGAAAGTTGACAGATGAGATTCAAAAGCTGACCAATATAAAAGCCTCTTCCAAGATCAGGTCGGTGCAATCAGATATAGGGTAAATCATGCAATTCTCGACTCCTGTGCATGTAAATCTCTGATGGAGTAGTATTAATATCTGTGTTTTTCTCAGGTCTATGGACTGTTTTCTGTCTCCTAATGGTGAGATGAAGATTGCTCTGTTACTGCAGAATAACACAGTAGAGACGTACACTCTGAAGACCACAGAGAAGAACGCTACTGGTACCAAGACCTGTCGGCTCACACTCGGGGGCCACCGCACCGACGTTAGAACTCTAACCTTCAGTTCTGACAACATCGCTGTCCTCTCTGCCTCTGGAGAGACTGTCAAAGTGTGGAACAGGTCAGTCTAAAGACACACGGGCAGTGTGTGTATATTTTGGTTTCCCTGACTTCCTCAGAACCTATTGATAAGGAAAATGTCTTTTGTTGTGTTTTAAAATATTTATATTATTTTTATTATTCTGCCGGAGCTGTTATGTGAGAGATCATGTTTCTCTGCATTCGTTAAGAAAGACTGTAGCCTTTTCTGAACATTTCTTTCTGTAAGTGGTGAAAAGTGGCAGCACTCGACTCCTCCTCAGTCCACATGTACCTCTCCTCCATGCTGTTTGTGTCTAATTGTTGTAAGAGGTGCGTGGGGGGAAATTTGGTACATGAGATTAATTTTATCCTAAAAAAAATTTGTAGGTTTTTGCCACATTTCATGTATCGATGCAAAATTTCCTACTAAAGTTGATCAGAAAAAAAAAGTTTTGTTTATATTCATAAAATATTACAGACAGTTTGAATCTCTTTAGCCTACATCAACAAACATTTTGCAGTGTTAAAACTTTTTTTGCAAAAAGAAAAAAAAATCCTTTAGATGAAAACCTAGCTACTGATTTTGGCTAACTAATGTTTATCAGAAATGGTGGTCGTCTGACTTGATTGGTGATGAACTCTGCTGACGTTTTCCACCATTTCCGTTCATTATCTTTGTGTGTTAATGTTTATGAAAATGTGTCAAATAAAATATTACAGCGATGGAGGTGAATAATGAGGAGACAGTTGAATGTGTGGCTGTTTATTAAGGGGACTAACGTTTGCACATCTTGCACACTGGCTAAAGCTTTGAGAAATGGAAACTTGTTTAACAGCAGTGGGTGCAACTTCCAGTTCATTGCATTCAGTTTTTTGACATTTTTAACATAGGTAATTGCAGCTGTCCAGCTAATTAACTTAGCGTACATTTTAAATGTTATTTTAATTGTGTTTAAGTGTCAGTTGTGCAGGCATTGCCGGTTGCTTGGTAATAGATATAATTCCTAAAATAAGATTTGCTTCTGTAATACCATCTTGTGAAAAATCTTATCTTGACTTTTCACTTTTCTCTTGGAACCAAGAAAGGAGGTTTCTGTAATATGGACCCAGTTTCCTAACCTTTGTTCTAGTATCCTTGAGTTCTTAACCGGAATTTTTCTCTTTCTCAGATCCACTTTGCAGGTGATTCGCACCATGGCATGCGAGTATGCCCTCTGCTCACTGTTTGTGCCTGGAGATAGACAGATTATCATAGGAACCAAGGTACATCAATGTCCATTTTAATTCTTAAATTCTTGAGTGTTTTGCCAGATGTTCTTAAATACACTGGGTTGGTAACGACCCTGCACTTGCATCTAACACAAATTGATCTAAAAACTACTATGGTTGTGTAAAACTATCAAAACATTTTCTTTAACAATAAAGTAAAACACATTTTGCTAGATCTGAATATTTTGTCACTTTTCAGCTAGAAAAAGGAATGAAGTAGGAAGTGATGAGGTCATGGCTCACTGGTGGTTTCACTGAATGGGAAAAAGTTGAATGAAAGAAGATTAGTTTTTAATTTGATCTCCTTGTTTGAGTGTCTGTAATGGCCCCTTTGTTTTCTCACAGAGTGGAAAGATTCAGATTTTTGATCTTGCATCAGGAAGTCTGCTGGAGACTACAGAAGCACATGATGGAGCTCTGTGGTCCATCTGCCTTTCTCCTGATCAGGTGCTGAAGGAAACTACACTCACTGTTATTCTTTCAAAAAAAAATGTAGTCAGTGCGTAGCTGCTCTGTAGATGCTGCTTTTTCTTGTTACATCTGTACCTGCTTGTTCTTTGTTTGTCATTATGAAAAAAGATTAGAGTGAGTTTTTTATGTGTCTCTATGTTTACCACTTTTTTCATATGTATTTGTGTGTTCAGAGGGGTATCGTAACTGGAGGAGCAGACAAGACAGTGAAATTCTGGGACTTTGAGCTCATAAAAGACAATAAATCTGGACCAAACAAGTAAGACAAAATAGGATTACTGACCACTGCTCTTACTGTTGCTGCTGGCTAATGTATAGGTTGCGTATTAGTCAGTTATACTACAGTTCCAACCACACAATTGAATTGGTTCAAAAGCAGATGTTCTTTTTTCCGTAACATTTGTTGTATGTAGTTATTTCAGAGCTCCCACCAAGATAACATGACATAGTGCAGTTTAAATATAAACGTTTTTGTCAAAAAGAGTACTTTGAACAACTATACCAGACCTTGAGTTGTGAATAACATCTCGCAGCATATCAGTGTGCTCTGCACACTAACAAAATAGTGTAGTGCCATTACAACACATACACTACGTGTTTGGAAGAGAAGCTAAATAACTTTGTTGGTTACCAAGCCATGTTAGGTATTTGTTCAGCCCACGTTTAAGTACCTGTCCCCTTTGGTTGAATAATTTCCAGTGTATAGTTTGACTGTTCATTAACATTAGTAGTTTTCCACTGATAAACATAGCATTAGCTAGCTTTGTGGGTAACGTAATTTAGCAATGAAGAGTGTTATAAGCTTCTGTAAGCTGTGTTGCCAGAGAATTTTTACAAGCGATGAGCTAGGGTGGAAAGATAGGGCCGTTGTTTGTTTACTCGCTAAAACTGCCACACTGTTTCATAAATAAATCAGTCAGTCAAATTTGTCAACAGCTTAGCCTACGTCAGAGCCGGTTTATGAAGATCCTGGCCACTTCCTACACAGCAGAGGGCGCCTGCGAGAAAGTCCTCAAAGAATGGAAGACGAAAAGTTCAAATTGTTTCTCATCACTTGCCCAGAACTTTCCTTTGATTTTGGAAAGTAGAAGAATGTATTTCACTAATAAAGTAAAGAAAACATACCTGCATGTTTCCTTTTTTCTACAGCAAACGGGTTTTGGGCAGCAGAACGCTGGCATTAGTGCTAGTGAGTGCCAATTGGTTGGCGAGTGGAGCAGCTCATTGAATGTTTGCGCACATGAGGCACTGTTTTAAACTCCTATAACTCGAAAGCTCTTAAAATATAACAGCAGTGTTGAAATGTTTTATGCTATTCAGTGTTCAGGAAATAAGTGTATTCCTTTACATTAAAAATATTTAAGTATCTATGAATTGATTTTGCTCAAAAGCTCCATCTTAACCCATTTATTTTGGACCTGCTCGGGAGCGCCCTCTAGCGTTTGAGAAACCCAACTCAACTGTTGTATAAAAGCAGTGGAAAATTCTCACAGATGTATTCTTGCTGTAGGAGACTTACGGTGAAACACACTCGCACGCTGCAGTTGGATGAGGATGTACTGTGTGTGTGCTACAGTCCTAATCAGAGACTGCTGGCTGTCTCTCTGCTCGACTGCACTGTGAAGATATTCTACACAGATACACTAAAGGTACACTGTGCGGCATATACAGCAGAAGCACAACACAAACACTATTGATGCTCCTGTGTCTATAAGCTATTAAGACACTAGAACTTGAAATAAAACTGATGGGACCTGTTATTGCCATGAGCTGATGTCAAACATGTTTTATTCTGGCATGTTAGTCACATTTTCATTACCGTGGTCCACAGAACATAAACAATGAATCAATTCAGGAAAGCACAGTTTAGTGCAACCAAAAAGAATGCTCGATTTGTTATAATAGGTCATATGTTATATGTTCAGTATGTTCTATGTAGTATCATCTGACTATATCAGCATCACACAGTGTGAGAAAAGTGCAGTGTGCAAAGTTCATCCACACCACAAAAAACTCTGAGACGCTTTTCAGAAGCATTGTTTGACTAATAAATTTGTCAAGGCATAAGTCAAACTTTATCTTGGACCGCTCATAATTTTATCACAGTATATAATTCTGTAAATCTTTCATTTTATTGGTCTGTGATACAATGACTAATATTATGGTCAAGACATGGTAACCAAGCTATCCTGTCAGGTTTTATTCTGTTCTTTGGGTGATGATGGGTCAGCTCAGGCCATTTTTGGACAGAATTTTCTTGTACTTGGTTCAGTTTCTGACTCAAAACATAGTAATATATTTTAGGTCAGGTTTGGACAAAGCTTGGTCAGGCTCGGGCCAGGCTCAGAGAGAAAATTCTCAAGCTATATTTAAGTTCATACTAAACTTTCAGGCCTGATGAAAGCTCTGAAAGTTGCTGGTTCACCCATGCAATTAATCATGAACACGTTTGTCTGTGCTCCTTCATTATAAAAGGCAGTGGAAATGAGATTGATGTTATATATGTGTTTCTCCCTTTGTTTCTCTAGTTTTTCCTGTCCCTGTATGGACACAAACTGCCTGTGCTCTGCATGGACATTTCACATGTGAGTACACATGCCTAATCTAGTTTCAGTATGCAGTCATTTATTACAGCTTGCTTTTTAAAACCATAAGCTAATTTCTTAATGTTGTTCTTTAGGATAGTGCATTGATAGTCACTGGATCAGCAGACAGAAATGTGAAAGTGTGGGGTTTGGACTTTGGTGACTGCCATCGTTCAATGTTTGCACATGATGACAGGTAATTACTGCTTTTTGCTGCTTATACATTATTACATTTCTCTATTCATTTGATGGCCAGAGAGCCCAAAGAAAAGTATATGACTTCATCAGTGTGTGACATAAGTGTGGTAATTTCCTTCCCAGAGTCTGCTTTTAGTTAGTTATTTCTTATGTCCGGTATCAGTATGTATTCTGTACTGGTGCACAGTCACAAGGTGATGATGTCATCCCAGAAGGTCAGTCAGTATTTGTCATCTATTTTCTCTCTCTCTCTCCAGTGTAATGTTCCTTCAGTTTGTTCCAAAAACCCATCTGTTCTTCACAGCGGGGAAGGACAGGAAGATCAAACAGTGGGACGCAGACAAGTTTGAGCACATCCAGACACTGGAGGTGACATCTTTTAACAAAGTGGACCATTCTGCATATGCACATCTTCATGAGCTAAATGATTGTTCTGGGGTTCATGGGGTGAAAATAGCTATTATTGACTTCTAGGGCTAAACCTGTGTTAAGAATAGAACACAGTCAATAGGCAGCAAAGGTTGATTGCATTATGCAAGTAGAAGTCTGTTTTTCCTTGGAAAACAATCAATACAAGTATTGAGGAAAACATAGCTAAAGCCTTACTACTTTTCTGACCTTTAACTTTGGGTCTTTCTTTCTCAGGGTCACAAAGGTGAAGTATGGTGCCTTGCCATCAGTCCCAATGGAGACCACATCGTCTCCTCCTCTCACGATAAGTCCCTCAGGCTTTGGGAAAGAACAAGGGAGCCTATCATTCTGGAGGAGGAGAAGGAGATGGTGAGTGCCTGAAGGACAGAGGTGCTGGGGCTACTGGGAATCTCAAAGTACCCCTTAAGTTAAAATTAAAGCCATAAAAAATTATCTATGTTCATTAGTATATCCTTAAATTTAGCACAAATTTAATACATAATACATAAAAAACTTAAATTGTTAAAGTTTTTATGTATTATTGTTATGCCTAGAACACTACTAAAAAATGCACAGAAGCATTCCTGAACCTTAACAGTTATTAATAGTGCAAAGATCTGTGAACATGCACAATTATGCAAATTGTAAACACCCCCTTGCCACCCGGTTTTCAAACCATGCCCCTTACCTTCACCAAAAGGAATGCAGATGCTCCCTATGTAATAAAAATTATTAATAAAACATAAACTAGTGAAATTTTCAAAAAATCACCCATTAATGTTAAACCAGTCAAACAACTATTGCTAAATGCTGAACAGTGCAAGGTGATTATGCTAGCACTAGCTTAGCAAGCTGTTAACTTAGCACACCATGGAAACGGTTAGATTCTGTCTTTCTGTCACTCCAACACATATTCGAATGTTCAGATCTGAGTCTTTATTCTCTATACTTGTAGATATCGAACCTGTATTGTGGTCTTATTAAGCTAACACTAGACCCTGATGCTCCCAAGAACAGTATAATGGAACAAGATTTAGTGCTTCAGATTTGACTTAATTATTCTCAAAAGTTTTGTCAATGAAGCTTCAGTGAGCCAGAACTGAACCTGTGCTTTGAAGCTCGCTAAGCCTCTGGTGCAAACAAGGACAGTGTTGTGTGAAGTTGAAGCATACTAAGCTACTGCTACCAGGTTCTACACCATAAATGACAGATGTTTGTTGGAAAGATGTGAAACGTAAATATGACATTCATAATTTTAAATGGCACCATCATTTACTTATTTTAACTAACCATTAAAATACATTAGTACTTGCTCTCTGTAGCTGCAAGTAGTAATTTTCTCGTTAGCATATTTTAGCCTGTTGGACTGTGATAAGTAACTGCTTTCAAGTGCAAGTTGGGTGTATTTTCTGAGTTCATCAAAAATACATTTTTTGGGATGTCTTGTAGGCCAACTTGGTAAAAACAGTTTCTAAACGTGCGGATGTAACGCAATATCATGACATCAGGCTACAGTCTATTCTTAACAGCCATACAGTCGTCACCCTACCTATTTCAATATGTCTGTATGGTGATACAAAACAGCAGGACTGTGTACACATCAACCAGAGTGCTGAAGACGCATAAACACAACCAACACTGCAACACCCTCCCCTATAAAGCATGTGTCTGATCTCCATAGGCACGCTTGCCTAGTGAAGACAACATAACTAAGTAAAATTCACACAGCTGAGACGTGCAATGGCAAGGAAAAACACAACAAACTTAAAAACCTTAACCTAATCATCGTAGGAAAGAGCATACCAGCACAGCAGGCATAAAAATGTTTATGATCCAGTGTGTCTTACCTGTGATGACTCGATGCACTGAAGTAATGTTAGATGTTTGCTTCAACAATGACATTTTAAATTTGTTTTTGGCTTTGGATTGGTGGAAAACAACATGCTCTACAGAACGGAATCTTACTTTTAAACGTTCGCAGTCACGTCTTTTAACAACTGGAAATTTGCATTCAAACACTGGCCCACTAATAATGGACTGCAGGCTTGAGGCAATGGTCGATAGCAGCTGTGCTAAGCAGTGATTTAAAGAAGGCAGGGCTTGGGGAGGGAGTAATACTTTGATTGGTCATAATTCAGTGATGGCACTCACAGAAAACAAATCACATTTCATTATCTTAAAAAAGTCGGCTTAAAAAAATTGTCTTTACCCATTTGATTGGGTAGGCCTGCAAACAGTCCTACCAGTGGCTATGCCCCTGACATTCAAATGGTTCATGTGAGAGGTAAACAAAACACCTGAGGTTGTGAAAGAGGTATTGCATGTATGTTTATTTGCTTGCTTGCTGGTATCATTTTTGGCCTATTTTACTGGTGTTTTAACTCCTATGTAAGGTAGTTAACTGTACATCTTTAAAATTCACTTTAGCATTACCATTTATCTTGTGTGTACAGCTTATCCAATTGCATGAAATTTTTCATCGTACCAGAATGTGTCATCCAACTTTAAATGGCGTTCATGTGGTGCCTCCTGGTGGGAAACCTGTTTGTCCAATAAAACCAAAACCACTTGAAAGCAGTACAAGCTGCTACATTGTGCCCCCTCCGAATCGTTTTTGAATCATTGTAATCATTCTGTAAATGTTCTAAAAAGACTATGTTTTCAAAGGAAAAACAGGAACTGTGCACTGTTGTAACACATTTCACACAAATACCATACTACATCCAAGAGGAGTCAATCATTTCAAAAACACCATTTAAAAACAGGTTTTTGAATTCTTTAACCAAACATTTTTGCTTATATTTGCAAGCACCGTTTCCTGCACACATCATTTAAACCAGTTTTTAAAAAAACTACTTTCGTGTATATCTGTCTTCTACATTTATAGCATATTGTCACTTACCGCAGACAGTAATTTCCCTTTACAGAACAGAACAGAAACCTTCTGACAGGATACATATCTTAATTTTCAGTTTTCCTGAGCTTTGCAAACACTTTAAAATAGACAGAATGTACCAACAAAAAAAAAAAAAATAAATAAAATCTTACGTGAAACATTCGGTACACTGAGTTGCTACACACTGCCTGTTGTTGTTGTTTACAGGTTTACTGTTATTGATGTAAATTGGTCTTACTCAGAAAAGCATATTGTGATGCAATTTATTATGTTAATGAAAACAAATCATTCTGCCCACCCATAAGTACAGAAAATGCTTTGTAATTATTGTCCATGGTAATCAGCAGTGTGCTACAGATGTAGTAGATAGAGATGTGACCAATATGAAAATGTATCTGTATCTGAACAGCACTTAGCCACCAAACCTCAACCTGGTCATTTAACTTACTTTATTTCTGTCTGACTGACTTTTTCAGGAAAGAGAAGCAGAATTTGAAGAATCTTTGTCCAAAGGAGATGAGCCTGTGGTAAGCGGTTGTCTTGATATCTTCACAGATTGTTTGTGGCTTTCTCTTGTGTTTCAGTAATATCAGCTAGATTCATGATGATTTCATATCTCATTTATGCCCAGGTTCCTGGAGAGGCCAAGGGAGAAGCAGAGCCTGCAGGAAAGAAGACTATAGAGACAGTCAAAGCTGTGAGTTCACCAGCATCGAGGAAAGATAGTATGGTTCTGGTAATAACTGAAATATAACGCTCACCCTCTCCGGTTCTTCATTCTAGGCTGAGCGTATAATGGAGGCTCTAGAACTCTACAGAAAGGAGAGCAAGATGCTAGAGGAGCACGCAGCTGCTTGCAAGGCAGAAGGGAAGGAGGTGTGTTTGACTGTCTCTTCATACTTGCATCCTAGAATACACACACACACATCACTACTACTACTGTGCTCTGCAGTTCCTTTGCAACATCATTATATTCATCCATTTTTTTACTCAACATTTATGTTTCCTTGCAAAGTTAATCCATCCTTTGATTCAAAAGTAAAAACCAGAAAATGTTAAATTTAGGACATTTCAGTCTGAGATATGGAGGACAACTTGTTCAAGCACTTGTTATAAGCAGTATTGATTATTATAACTTTTTAGAGGGCTTCTCAAGGAAGCAATACATCTCCCACAAGTTGCACAAAATGCAGCAGCCCAGATCCTATCAACAGACAGTGCACTCTCAATTGCCTAGCACTCTGTTTGTTTATGATCCTCTTTGTAATCTTAGATCTCCTGACAGTAACTGACTTTCTGCAAGTAACCTGTGTAAATTACAGAAAAAGTAGAGAGGCCTCTTTCTGTTATTATGCATCTAAACTGTGGAACTTGCACAATTAGACAGTCAAGTTTGGTTCGTACTTTTAAGAAATATCTGAAAATATATCCTTTTAATTTAGCTTTAATTTAATATTATAATGCACATCAATTTAATTATTTTTTCACTTGATCTGTTTTTTTCCTTGTTCTTTTTCTTTGTTTTTTAAACTTAATATTTCAGTGTAAATCATTTTGAGCTGCTACATATACAAAACTCTTTAGTTCTAGAGTTTGATAGTTTCCCTACCCAAACACACCCACTAAACCTAGCAATTAACAGACGGGTGTAATCAGATGTGTTTGAGCAGGTAAATCACCAAATTGTGCTTGATTGTTTACATACTATTGTTTTGCAGTTACCACCCCCTCCAACGAACCCCATCCTTATGGCCTATGGTAGTATCTCGGTAAGCAGCACGTACTTAATTTGTATTTTAATAATGGCCTTTTACATCATAAACAGCAGGACTAGCTCCTTATCATGAAAGCAGAGACCTCTACAGACCTTTAAAGCGAAATCCATTGATTTTTCAAAATTTCAGAATAGTTAAGTTATTCAGAGTATTCTGATGTGAAATGGCTCACTGTAAAGGAACGTAGTTTCTTGGATTTTCTATACAGTGGTGGTGATGTGAGCAATTCTGACTCTGCAAGTTTCTCTAGAACAGAGTCTTTCATATCAGACTATTGTAGTCTGTTTTTTGGGGATTTTTTTCCCCCAATTTTCTCCACCCAATTCCACCCACTAGTTAGGACTCCCCCAATCACATGATATCAGGGTGATATCATAGAAGGGCAAAAGCTAGCACAGGCTTCCTCCAAATCCTGTGAAGCCAGCCACTGCCTCTTTTCGAACTTCTGCTAACAAAACGTCACTGGACAGCTGAACGTGCTCGGAGGACAACTTCCACAACTGTTACATCAGCTATTGAGCATCCGCTGAGTGATGGGGGAAGAAGTGGGGCCATCCTACACACCCAGGGCAAGGCCAGTTCTGCTTTTTTGGACTCCCAGCCACTGATGGCTGTAGCATCACCAGAGATGGAACTTGCGATCTCCTGATGATGGGGCCAATGCTTAGACATCCATATCAGGCTATTCTGAGTGACTTTGTTTACATCTTAACAACTGCATTATGTATTTTGAAAAATCAGTGGAATACCTGTTTAAATATATATGCTTAACTTAGTCTATTATCATGTCACAAAATGGATGTATACTGCTGTTTACTGCTCATTATTGCAGTAACCCATTTTTTCCGCTGTCCCACAGCCCTCTTGCTATGTGCTGGAGGTCCTCAAGAAGGTCCGGTCCAGGTAGGGAAATTACTCCTTTGCCAGTGTGCTGCATGGTGTACATGTGCTCTCTGCTGCTGCTTAAGGCCTACATACACTGAGAACACAGAACATGTACAAACATTTGTAAGGTGACAAATAGTGAACATTTGTGTGATTCTGTAGTAAAATGTTTGATTCTGATTCAGCTCATAAGCTAATTAGCAAGGCCTTCATGAACTGAATTCAGAGTGGTAGATGAGGGTAAACACATCTCCGTGTCACCTTTGCCCAGAAGGTCTGCAGTTTGACATGCCTGCTCTAGTGCATGTGAGATGTTAGTTAGTTAGTTTGTAAGTGTAGTTTAAGTAATTCTCTCTGCCTCTGATTTCAGTGAGCTGGAGGTTTCTCTGCTGGTGCTGCCGTTCCCCTACGTCCCCGATCTGCTCTCCCTCTTCAACACCTACATACAGCAGGGCCTAGAGGTGGAGCTGGTCTGCCGCTGCCTCTTCTTCTTGCTCAAGTATTTATGACCTCCTATTTTTCTGAATTACACCTACCAGCTTTGGTTACCAAGAACGTACATGCGGCACTGAGTTTTGCAACATTATCTATATCAGTGGTCACCAACCTTCCTCCTGGAGAGCTACTTTCCAGAAGAGTTTTGTTCCAGCCTGCCTCTAACATGCTGTGCAACACTGTGTCTGATCCAGCCAGTTAAGGACTTTTGCAGAAGTAAATTAGCTGGACCAGGTGTGGTAGATCGTGGTTGGAACTAGACTCCACAGCAAGGCAGATCTCCAGGATGACCACTGATCTATATTAAATGTGCCTAATAGTGGGATAAAATTTGAGTTAGAAATGCTTTGCACTAAAGTTTGTGTTCTTTTGAAGAATCCACTTTGGTCAGATCACCAGTAACCAGATGCTGCTGTCAGTTATCGATGAGTTGAGAACCAACACTATCTCCAAAGTCCGCGAAATCAGAGTAAGTATGTTTTACTTGCAGCAAACTCTGCTGTCTCCATTAGACTATCAGTTTTCATCACTCTGCTCAACTTCCTCAGGATGTGCTGGGCTTCAACAGTGCAGGCCTTCAGTTCCTCCAGCGGGAGATCGAGAGTAAAGAAGATGTGATGTTCTTTGCTGATGCCACAGGTCGCTTTGAGGAGAAGAAGAGAAAGAGGAGAAAGAGAGAAAGAGCCATTCTGACCATTACATGAACCAGTTCAAGAAACCAACCAAGCTAGAAAATGCCATCTAGGACTGTCTGTCTTTGTTCTTCATGAACCCTGTGATGGTCAGATCTTGATGTTTCGAGATGTTCACCATGTTTAGATTTTTTTATAAGCTTGGATGTGATGTATTTGCATTTGTAGTAGTCTTATAATAATTAATTTTTTCATTGACCTACTGCCTGAATTTGAGTCTCTTATTTACATGATTTTGAAATATACTTTCATGTCATCATAATGTACAAATCTATTGTTATGGACACCTCAGGCTCCAGTGGTGGAGTCAAGTTTAAAACTCGTCAGTGTTATAAATGGCATCATAAAATGGATTTATTTTGAATTGAGACTAATTTTTCCCTTTAAGTACAGGGAGGCCAGAAACGTGGTGAAATATGGGCTTTTCTACAGCTTTGCCTGTTTTAGAGCACGTTGGGGAGCGTGTTCAGGAGTGCAGTGGTAGGGTAACTCTGTGTGAGTGTTCAGTGGGGAGGACCATATCAGAGCTGACACCATAGCATGGGACCACCACAAAGACTTTTCATAGCATCCTAATGGAGCCAGGGACATGAAGGGGGGATTCTGTCTGAAAACTCTCCCAAACACAGACCAGTGGGGAAATGACTGTTTTCAGCAAAGTTTTATGGATGTCTGTGTATCATTGACAAGAACAGAAACATGAGTGCTTTCGTAATTTAGGTCATATGCACAGGTCAGGTTAAACTGACGGCAGCCGAAACACTGCAATGTGCAAAGATGAGCGAAAGGAACAGCAAGATGAAGTCTAAACATATTGATGACCCTATAAAAGTTACTTCACATAAGTAGTCCATTAAAACTGCAGTAATTTAACTGCAGAATATTAAAGTAACATTGACTGATCAGATGACTCGGCTAATCAGATTTAATCATTATCCAATATTAAACACTATAAAGCGGTTATTTGAGTAAGCAAAAAAACTAAACATATCAGTCCTGAATGTCTCATGCACACAAATAACTGATTAGACTCAGTATCCACTGATAATATTAAAGGACAAAAATGAGTCAGGATGTCCCTAATTAAATTGTAAGATGATGCCTAAAGCCATGTTGAAAGCTGAGTCATCTTGTATATCAAACTAATACAAAGTAGTCTGCAAACCAAAAATAACTAACAAAAATAATAAACTAGAGGACAGCAGAGCTGATAAATACACAGAAAAGACTGTAAGAATGATGTAACCTTAGAGCAGCGGTTCCCAACCCCAGTCCTGGTGTTTTCCCTACTCTACACATAACCCAGCGAATGAGGTGCTTGTTAAATGGTTAATGATTTGAATCAGGTGAGCTTTAAATCAACCAATCAGTTTGAAGAAAATAGGTATGTACTATATGCCATAATTAGGGATGCATCAATATTGATAATGGTATCAGCTATCAGCCTGATACTGTACTCATTTACTCAAACTCATAAAAATGACACCAACATCCAAAACCACCTGATATCATGTGAGGTAAGCCTAGTGTAAAGTGCCACGTTAATGAAGAAATTACTCAACCTGGCAGTGAATGAGGATCTGTTCACACAGAAAAGTGCTGTTGACACTGTAACAGTCAGATATAAAGTCATTGGTCACTTTAAACATCCTGCCTTGGTAGATTCCTGCCAGGAATACACTGTACAATTTCGGCCAGTTTTAAACGCACACAAACACAGTCACAATCGCAACCACTTCCCTGATAAGGCTGGAGACGCATAGGCTAACAAAATGTGGGGGGTCCACATTTGCTTGACAACAAAGTCTGTATATGCAACTTTGACTGAATAGAACTGTATAAACTTTATACAGGTATAAACTTTTATACATTGATCTTTTAAATTGTCTTCTAAAATTAGGTTGTAGAAAGACAGTATTATTCTACCATAATCATCACCACCTAGTTTTAGCTACAGTGCACAACGTGGCACAAGTCAGCAAAGCTGCTGTAGAGTTAGCTCAGGTCTCAGTGTTTCTGCCCAGTATTCGGACACACAGCGTGTTTTGAATGAGCTTTATTGATCGTCTGTAGACAGATCGTATCTGTAGACAGATTGTCCGTACACCAAGGTCTATTCAGACATACAGTTTGAGTCACCAAATAAGATTTCCAAAATTGCACAGTGTATGTCTGGAGAATATGACATGGAATAAAACTTGCTCTTCTCCACTGCAATGCTACTCAATTCAAGGTGACTAATGTAGCATAGCTAGATAATGTACTCAATTTAAAATCAGCAAGTAGATTTTAATGACTTAACTGTTAATGTACATTGGATTCATTTACACCAACAACTACTCAATTGGAACTTACCCAGCATGGTATCGGACTCTGTATCAGTGAGTACTTAACCATGTCACATTATGCGAGAAACTTATAATCCTGTAATTGTAGAACTACAAATGCGCCTATACGGTAAGTAGGTGTATCAAAAAAAGTGCCGTGTGTGTGTGTATGTACGTAAACATATACACACTAATTTTTGACTTCTTAAGTTAAAAAAGAACACACATCCTCTACAGAGATAAAAATTTTACACAATTACACACAATCACTTTAACAAATATTTAACATATCGCTGTTGTTGGAAGAAAACCTTGTATCTCCAATTTTGTCATTTTTCAGTTTTTGTCTTTTTTTTATCTTCTAAGCTGCTTATCCTCCTGGGTCGCGGGGGGAGCTGGAGCGTATCCCAGCAGTCACTCGGTAGAAGGCAGGATACACCCTGGACAGGTCTCTTCTGACAACAGCAATATTTTTAAAAAACAAACATAAAATATGGCACATTGTATGTTATTTTACAACCCCATTTACAAAAAAGTTGGGACGCTGTGCAAAATGTAAATAAAAACAAAATGCAATGTTGTGCAAATCATTTAAACCCTATATTTCATTGAAAACAGTACGAAGACAACTGAGAAATTTTATTGTTTTTTGAAAAATAAATGCCAATTTTGAATTTGATGCCAGCAACACATTCCGAAAAAGTTGGGACGGGGTCAACAAAAGGCTGGTAAAGTTATGTAATGCTAAAAGAACACCTGGTGGTTGATTGGCAACAGGTCAGCAACATGATTGGGTATAAAAGAGCATCCCAGAGAGGCTGAGTCTCTCAGAAGTAAAGACCAGGAGAGGTTCACCACTCTGTGAAAGACTGCACAATCAAATAGTGCAACAATTTAAGAATAACGTTTCTCAACATAAAACAGCAAAGAACTTTTGCTTTTCATCATATACGGTACATAATAACATTAAAAGATTTAGAGAATCTGGAGAAATCTCTGTATGTAAGGGACAAGGCCAAAAACCAATACTTGCTGGCCATGATTTTTGGGCCCTCAGGTGGCACAGCATTAAAAACAGACATGATTCTGTAGTGGAAATCACTGCATAGGCTCAGGAACACTTCTGAAAAACACTGTCTGTTAAAACAGTTTGTCGCTGCATCCACAAATGCAAGTTAAAACTCTAAAACACAAAGAAGAAACCAAATATAAACAAAATCCAAAAATGCTGCCGCCTTCTCTAGGCACCATTAATGTTCAAGCAACATATGCTACCATCCAGACCACGTCTGTTTCAGGGAAAGCTTCGCTTATTTCAGCAAGACAACACCAAGCCACATTCTGCAGGTATTACAGCAGCATGGCTCCATATTAAAAGAGTCCGGGTGCTAAACTGGCCTGCCTGCAGTCCAGAGCTGTCACCCACTGATAACATTTACCGCATTATGAAATTAAAAATACAACAAAGGAGACCCCGAACTGTTGAGCAGCTGAAATCCTATATTAAACAAGAAAAGGAAAACATTTCACTTTCGAAACTACTGGCGGTCTCCTCAGTTCCCAAACGCATATGGAGTGTTGTTAAAAGAAGAGGTGATGAAACACATCACAAATGGGCAAATATTTTTCAAAAAACAATGCATTTTCTCAGTTTCAAAATCTGACATGTAACAACATATAAATAGACTAAAAAAGAAAAGAAACTTATCTAGTTACATATAAAAAGAGGAAAACTTAACTGACTATATATAAAAAAGACTGCCCTGCGATGGGCTGGCGACCTGTCCAGGGTGTATCCTGCCTTCTGCCCAGTGACAGCTGGGATAGGCTCCAGCGCCCCACTGCGACCCAGAAGGATAAGCGGTTTAGATGATGTATGTATGTATGTATAAAAAAGACAGGAAACATAACCAAATACATAAAAATGAAAGGAAACTTAACCAACTACATAAAAAAGAAAGGAAACTTAACCAGCTACATAAAAAAGAAAGGAAACTTAACCAACTACATAAAAAAGAGAGGAAACTTAACCAGCTACATAAAAAAGAAAGGACACTTAACAAACTACACAAAATCAAAAGGAAACTTAACAAAATACATTTTAAAAAGGAAATTTAACCAACTACATATAAAAAAGAAAGAAAATTTCACCAACTACATTTAAAAAGACTAAAAAAAGCAAACTTAACCAACTAAATAAAACACACTAAAAAAGACGGGAAATTTAACCAACTACATATAAAAAAGAAAGGAAACTTAACCAACTACATAAAAAGAAACTTAACCAACCACATATAAAAAAGAAAGGAAACTTAACCAACTACATATAAAAAGGCAAAAAAAGAAAGGAAACTTAACCAACTACATATAAAAAAGAAAGGAAACTTAACTAACTATATATAAAAAAGAAAGGAAACTTAACCAACTACATATAAAAAAGAAAGGAAACAATTAACTACATATAAAAAAGAAAGGAAACTTAACCAACTAAATACAAAAGACTAAAAAAGATCAAATTTAACCACCTACACATAAAAAAGAAAGGAAACTTAACCAAAAACATATAAAAAAGAAAGGAAACTTAACCAACTATATATAAAAAAGAAAGGAAACTTAATGAACTACATAAAAAAGGAAACTTAACCAACTAAATAAAAAAGACTTAAAAAGAAATTTAACCACCTACACATAAAAAATAAAGGAAATATGACCAACTGCATATAAAAAAGAAAGGAAACTTAACCAACTACATTAAAAATTAAACTTAACCAACTACATAAAAAGAAAGTAAACTTAACCAACTATATAAAAAAGGAAACTTAACCACCTACATGTAACAAAGAAAGAAACTTAACTAGCTACATAAAAAAGAAACTTAACTATGTATAAAATGGCTAAAAAAGAAAAGAAACTTAACTAACTACATATAAAAAAGAAAG